ACAAAAGATTAAACTACATGAATGGACCCTCATTTTCTTTTATGATTAAGATTTATTCTGTGCGTGTAATGGAAGAAAACTCTCATGTTGTCCTACATGAAATACATAATAAATAGACACCATTTACTTTCTAATATCGCTATTAGTTGTTTATATTTATTATTCATTTCTATAAAAAAAATTTATCTTTACCATATCTACAATATACATAAAGGCAAAACATGAGTTGGAATTCTCCCATTTCAAATTCGTGGCCTGAGAGTGATTCTAAGAAGGTCATTTTTGTCATTGCACTCAGTTCATGTTTATATATATTAAAAATGTTATCTATGGAGTTCGAACCTTGGTCACTTGAATGAAGAAAGAGCATTATAACCAACTAGGCTACATTTTATTTATTGTTATTTCTTTGATTGAACTCTAGGAATATGTTTGGTGATGATACTTCTATATTTATATTTTATCTTAAGTTATTTATATTTTATAGAAAGATATTAGTTCTGAAATCGGAACTCAAGTAATATTGATTCAAACATTAATATTAAATTGTATGTGTTGTTTAGTTCAGACAAAATATAGAAGTGTAATCAAAACATGGACCTTTGTGACGAGTATAATCATTTTTTTGTGACAAATCTACACATAATATAATGATACAATCATTATATTATGTGTAGATTTTTGGACAAAAAGTTATTATATTTGTCACAAAGATCAATGTTTTGGCTACACATATGTATTTTGTCTAAACTGAACCAAACATACAATTTATTATTTAATGTTTGAATCAATGTTACTTGAGTTCCGATTTCACAATTATCCTTTTCTATAAGAATTAATAATTTTTGGTAAAATACATTTCCTACTTGGTTGAAGAAGCTCTTTCTATAATATATATTCAATGTTGTAAGATTTTCTATTTCAAATTTCGTGAAGCGAGAGAGTAGGAAGAGTATTTTTGTCATCACAATTATTATCTACTTCATATGTAAAAGTATCAATATCAAGATTTGAGCCATGGTCTCTTCAAACAAAAACAATAATCACAACCAATTACACTAAATAAATTTGTTTTATCTTCATAGATTGTAAACATGCACGAAGATTTGAAAAACAAAGGACTTTTCATGGTTAGCAATCCTATTAAATTTTCTGAAAATCAAAGTTTAATACGTGATTTATAATTTTTATAACCTATAAAATGATGGGTACTCTTAAAATTGCAACACAAATTTCATTGCTTGAAATATTGCATATCGAACTACATTATTGAATATGCAAAAGTGACGTAGAATTTTGTAAATTAATATGAATTTTCAGAACTAATACGAAACACTAATATTTTGTACAAACTATAGGTGACTGATTCTCTAAAATTTTACTCTGGTTAATTGCTAAACGTTAAACTCTTGCTAATCGGGCATGAATGAGCCTGACAATAATGAGACGATATCGAGTTTCATGTGATGTTCATTTCGTCAGTTTTGGATCGGATGTGTTGATCAATTTATAGGGCATTAACATATAAATGAGTTATAATTAACTCATTATGCAATTTTTACTCTTTATAATAATTAATTTAATCTTAATATTTGTGACGTTTGAAATATTTTATGTATGATTTTGAGGTATAATTATTATTTGTGACATCCGTTGTAGTTTATTCAAATGTAGTATTTCATCGGGTAGTCAAAATCGAATACTGGGTGCATTTATGACTATTTTTATCTTGGTGTTGTGAATAAGTAGAAACTTAATTATTACAATGCATATAACTATACCTAGGCACATGGTCGATCTAACCATGAAGATAATCTATATGGATCGGTCATGTACAAGCATGAATGCTTCATGGGTCGTACTAGATTTAAACTTTAAGGGCTCGGACACAAGTTCGATCACCACAAAGTCTATATTGGTGAACTTAAGTTTTATGAAGAAATGCGCCATTTGATAAAAATAAAACAAAATATTCTAAAAATAACTTGTAAAATTTGAATTAATGAGTAGTTTCTCACATCAACGTGTGACGTCTCATGTTCTAAAAGGTTTATAAAATACATTCATTCTTTATTTTGAGTATAGGTGTCAAAACATAGCCCGACCCGATTAACCCGCCCGATCAACCCGACCGCAACCCGAATTGACTAAAAGTCAACAACCCGTAACCCGCCCGACCCGCAACCCGATTGACCCGCAACCCAACTAACCCGCAACCCGATTAACCCGAACCCGATTGACCCGCAACCCGATTAACCCGAACCCGATTGACCCGAACCCGACTAACCCGTAACCCGACCGACTCAACCCGAATTTCATCTAATCCACTTGAATAATTATAAAAATATACAATACATAGTTTTTCAAAATAAAGTTTTTCATTCTAAACTTAAGTAAAATTATTTTTTCATTTCGTATAAGAAATTTTAAAAATATGAAACTCACTTGATATTACGTATTTTAAGAAAATTACAAAAATTGAAACATGAAGGTCACTTGAGATCATGACAATATTAATATAATATATAAATTAAAATTTTGGTTAATTTAACTATTCAATAAAATTATCAATTAAATATAAACAAAGTAAAGTAATGCATTTGGTAATTTGATGTTTTTAAAGGAAGAGGGAAATTTTGGTGTATTCAAGTTTTTGGGAAGAGAAAGAAGAGAGAAATTTGGTTCTTTGAATTTTTTAGAAAAGAAACAAGTGGGAATTTTGGTGGTTTTGATATGTGGGAAGAGAAAAAAGTGGGAAAATTTGATTCTTTTGATTATGAAAGAGAAATAAGGAGGGAAACTTTTGACTTTTCAACTTTTTGTGGAAGGAAAGAAGAGGGTAATTTGGTTCTTTCAATTTTATGGAAGAGAAAGAGGAGGGAAAATTGGGTTTTTCTAATGTATGGAAGGAGAAAGAAGGAGGGAAATTTTAGTATTTTTGTGAAAAGAAAGAAGGAAACAAATTTGGTGTTTTCAATTTTTTGTTTTTCATAATTTTAGCTTTTGAAATATGAATCTTTAACTTTTATATGGAGGGCATGACTAGTTAAAATTATTCTTATATGCTTTGAAGGCTATTATGTATATATGTATGTATTTTTTTTATGGGCTAACAAATAAATTAACCATTAGTTACAACAATTTATACTAAACTTGATAAGTAATCTTTGACGGTTCGTTGTTTAGGATATAAAGTATATGGTTAGGGTATAAGGTATAAGGTACATATGGTTTAGGGTGTATATGGTTAGGGTATAAGATATTGATGGTTTTGACGGTTCTAAGTTTTTTTTTAACATATGTTCACTTGAAGTCATTTGAAGTCTTTGACGGCAGAAGATCCCTTTTTAATTTATGTTTATGGTACGTGGTTAGGGTACAAGGTATGTGGTGTAAAGTATATGATATATGGTTAGGATATAACAATTAGCAAATATCACCTTTTATCTATGTTTTGAAAATCAAAGTATGAATTTCACTTTTAAATTAACTATACTAGCAAAATCACAACTCAAGGACATATGATTAGGGTATAGGTTATGTGGTTAGTGTATAATGTATTGATGGTTTAGGGTATACAATCAACAACATATACTAACTTAATATTGTTGATTGAGGGTAAAGCTAAGTGTATAGGATATATGCTTTTGAGTAAGTTATGATTGAAGTCACAATAATTTTACTAAATTTGATAGCTAATCTTTAATGGTTCAATTTTTAGGATAATTCGAACAATTTTACAAATAACTCGTTTGGCAACAGTTTACTAAATTTATTTGCGCAATGAGTTATTTTGAAATAACTCCTTTTATCACTATGCTTTTGCAAAATACCACACGCCAAATACCAAATTTGCATGGTTATACTAAACGAGATACTTTAATCCAATTACTACTGAATTAATACTAAAATATCAAATAAACAATTAACGGTGTCTTTTGGTTGCAAATATTGATATCACCATTACTATTAGCTATAATACTTTACCAATTATGATTAATTACATAACTTTGCAAGTCATACAAATTGATTTAACATTTTGACTAGTTTTTTTCAAAAAAATAAAGTATATATATACGAGATAGAAATAAATTGGTTAAAAAGTTGAGAAAATATTTTAAATTAGTGTAATAAAATGTGTAAGTTGGTAATGAGTTAAGTTACTTGATGCGCTGGCCCGAACAACCCGAAACCCGACCCGCCCGCAACCCGCCCGACCCAAAACCCGATGAACCCGCAACCCGATTGAATCCGAACCCGATGAACCCGCAACCCGACTAACCCGCAACCCGTTTGAACCCGAACCCGATGAATCCGAACCCGATGAACCCGCAACCCGACTAACCCGCAACCCGTTTGAACCCGAACCCGATTGAACCTAGCCCGAACCCGCCCGATTGACACCTATAATTTTGAGACTCAAACCTTTTTCAATTTATACAAATAAAAATTCATTTTTGATTAACTTAATAGCTGAAAAGTGTTTTTTTTTTTACAGCTGACAGTAATAACAAACAACGTCAACAATAGCTTTAGAAGCGAGTAAAGTGAAGAAGAAATTGAGATTTAGTATTTCCTTGCAAATGTGGGGAGGAGGGAGGGAGATTTTTTTGTCTAAAAAAATTGAGAAAGGGTTGAAACTCATATATAATTTGTTTGAATATTGAATATTGCATATTGAATTGGAGTATTGAATATTTTGGAAACAATATATAATTCTTAAATTAGTTTAAATTTTTAGTCTGGTTGACCAATAGCCTTAAACCTTTTGCTAATCTGACATGAATCCAATAATCATAAAATGAGATTTAGCTTGATATGGCGTCAATTCAAAACCATTTTTTATATGTAATGAATTTGTACGACAAATACATGTAAAGTGAATATGAACTTGATTATGCATTTTGATTCTTTATATAAATACAATGGTTTAAGGCTTTAAGCGATAAACTAACTATACACTCACTCGATTGGTTTAATGAGTTCTGATTTTTTTATAACTTTTAATAATTAGTTTATTCACAAGCTATCAAGCTACTTTGCTCCGTCGATGAATAAGCGACCATCTATTCGCCAGGTTTCAGGTGCTCTGAGTCACACTATCAATTGTGAATGGAGAAGAAGCATTTCGAACGCAAAATTGAAGAAGTAATTGGGTTGTTTCTAGGTTTCTCTCGATTCCAGGCGGTGAGAAGAAAGAGGAAGGGAAAAGGGGAAGAGTTGTGAGATACAAAGTTGTGAGAGAGAGATGGAAGAACAAATGGAAAAACAAAGAGGAAGACAAATAAAGAGTGAGAGGACACATTTAAAAGAGGAGGAAAATGAGGTAGTGTGAAATAATTGTCATTGTGCTTTGATTAGTAGATATTCTTGGCCCTATTATGTTGAGTTTTGATTTATTTTAGGAGATGACATTATATTTTACATATTTTTTCTATTTCAATTTAAAATCCTAAATCAATAGTATAATTTGGAAGATTTTTTCCTTAATACGATTATTGTAATTTCTGAGATTTAAGAGGTATTTGATAATGTCAATATTTTAGTGGTTTTTATTTAAAGTTTGTATTAAAAGATCGTATGTACCGGTGGTTAGACCATGAAACTTCACATCATAGGCTAAACCGATATGTGATATTTAACAATATGAAACGGTTGAACCATTATTAAATTATAAATTTAGTATTAAATACTCTACTGCCAACTTTTTTATACGATTTACAATCCTTTGGTTCAAACAATTCTTTTACAATGGTGGAAACAAAATTTTAAGACACATTTTGAACTATCTATTGCAAAAAAGCATAAGTCATTTAGTGATAATGAGAATATGTGATTTCATACAACCCAAAAGACACTTCGCAACTTCTATATTTTAAAATAAATGTATGCTACTCATACCCTCGCTCATTCATCAACTTAATGAGTAACATATATTTCATGTAATATTATTTTCATATGTTTTTATTTACTGAATCACTTCATGAAAAAAAAAACATATTTGCTGCATGAAAATTACTACATTGTTGCTAGACATGTCTTTAATATGAGAATAATTTGGGAAATCCGTACACAACACATTGTCCAACTAACTATGAGCGATAACTTAGCATCATGTCTTATATATTTCAAATCAAGCAAATTCATATTCATTACCAACAGTGTGGTAAAAAAGAACGCTCTCTATTGGGGAAAACTTAAAGGACATACTAAACTCTATGAGACATTTTCTTTCATCCTAAAGGTTGATTATGTATGTATGTATATATGTATGTATTATGAGAAGCAACTATAATATTCAACTATATAATTTAATTAAGTTATGAATGACAATTAGTTATATTCTTTTTTTATTCAATAATTATATGTAATGCTTATATTATATTTTTTCTCTTTTCATGGAGATCTAAACACATTATGCATAGGTGGATCACTTTCAAAAATGTTATGTGCATAACTAAGATAGAAAATCATGCATTTCAAATCATCTATTATATCCATTATTATATACCATATTTCTCGACAAAATTCTTCCGACCAACGGGCCGAGCCCTATGCTAGTGATAAAGGACAACAAAACATCAAAATATATAACAATCGGGTCTGGATACTATAACAATACTCATAGTGTTGTTAGAGTAACAACATGGGTAAAAACGGAAACTCACAAAAAATAATAAATTAAAATTAAATTAAATCATTCATTACCCCAACCTTACCCTTCTCTCCTCACTCGATTCTTCTCCCCTGTTGCCGACGCCATCCCCCAGAACACCGCCGTATTTCCGAACACCGCCACCCTCATCTCCTTCGTTTTGTCCCTGTACCGCCTCCCGGATTTCTCCTCCACCACCGCCCGCACCGATTCGGCGACGGATTCGCTGGAGTAGTACCCGTCTTCCTCGTCCCTCGTGACCTCAACTCCGGCGCCTCTCTCGGCGAACGTCCAGGCGATCAGGCCCTGATCGACGACGTGGATCGACAGCATGATCAGCGGCCGGCCGAATCGGAGCGCTTCGACTACGGAGCCCCACCCGCAGTGGGTCAGGAACCTACCTACGGATCTATGGGCCAGGATTTCCACCTACGGAGCTGACCCCGCCGCGCTGCTAGACCCACCGCCGGCGACACCGAATGGCATACTACTGTCAGGATGTCGCCATCAGAGTCGTTATACTATTTATTCAGATCTCGCCTTCTTCCGCACTGTGAATTGAGCTTGAATCCTGATGCTGTAAGGACTGGAAGACTAAAGCGAAGTGAAGAAGCAGAAGGATCAATACGCAGACGTTTTGTTATCACTTAAGTTTCCATTTGTTAAAACTCTGTCGTTTTACCTAAGGATCTATTAGCCGTTATTAAACAGTGTTTTGGTTTGTAATAGGCCAGTTGTTGGTTTCCAAGTGGCAATCTGAACTAAGCTGATTTCTTCAGCTGATATATATACTACAACAGAGCAGCCCCTGCACACTTGAGGGTTTTGCCATTTTTCCCTAGCAAATTCTCCATATGGTATCAGAGCGGAAACGCATCTAGGGTTACAATGTCTACCACACCACAGCCGACGAATCATGGGAAGGAAGCTGCAAGCGGATCACCAGTCTCAGGCGCAACTGGTTCTTCTCTTCGAGGTTTCCAGTTTGGTACCTACACTGATCAGCAGCAGCAGGAGCACCAACAGCAAAACACTACCAGATCTGAGGTGATAACATTCGGTAACCCATTCTACTTGAACCCTAATGAAGCATTGAACCAATCTATAGGTTCAGAGGTGTTTGATGGGACAAATTATATCATGTGGAGTAGATCTGTGATAATGGGTTTGAAGATGAAACATAAAGTGGGTTTCATCGATGGAAGCATACCAATGCCTCCAGTGACTGATGATACTTTTCTGTTATGGGATGGATGTAACACAGTTGTGTTATCATGGATTTTGAATTCTCTTCATAAGGATCTCAGACGTTCTGTGATGAACCATGTTAGTGCTAAAGTACTATGGGATGAGTTGAAAAGGAGGTATGGGAAACCTAATGCCATACGAATTACTAATCTGGAAGATGACATCCATAAGTGCAAGCAAGGGAGTCGCAGCATCAATCAGTACCACAATGAGATCAAGGGAATCTGGGAGGAACTGGCACAATTCAGTCCCATAGTGCCATGTAATTGTGCACCTGGAAACATAAATCCATGTGATGCTGTTGTGGCCTACATTGAAAGGCAGGAAACTGATTATCTTATCAGGTTTCTCAGGGGCTTGCATCCAGATTATGAGATTGTTAAGAGTCAATTACTCTCTCGTAAACCATTGCCTACTGTATCTGAAGCAGTAGATGATCTACTCCAGTATGAGCAGAAATTGAGAGCAGAATCACATGGTGGAAGAAGAACTCAAAGTGTAGCTCTAGCTGTTGAGGCTGAGGAAGATGAAAAGCCAAGAGGACAAGGGAAGAAGTTCTGCATCTATTGCAAGAGAACAAACCACAATGTTGAACAATGCTGGAGGGCTAAAAAGAAGAGAGAAATGCAGAATGGAGGAGGAACAGGAGGATCACAGGGCAATGGTTCTAGCTTTGTGGGATCAGTGTCACAAGGAGGTTCCAATGACTCAACTACAGAAGTGAGCTACTCCAGTTCAACTGATACTCCAGGAGGTAGCCCAGTAAGTTCTTCTAAGACAGTGGTTGGCTTTACACCAGAAGAGATGAACAAGCTAAGAATCATGATGCAATCTGGTACTGGTAGCTTCCCTTCACCTCCAACCTCACCATCTTGACCTCATCATGCCTACTCAGTAACTCAAATTCCACCACCCTATCCTACTTATTCAGGTAAATATAGCCTGTCTACCTCAAGTCAGTTTAACCAAACCAATGCTTCAAACCTTTGGATCTTAGACACAGGTGCCTCAGATCATATTTCTTGCACACTAGCTTTATTTATAGAGCACAAACCAGTTCAAGATGTCTTTGTAAACCTGCCTAATACCACTAGGGTTCTGGTTACTCACATTGGTACAGTTAGACTACCCACAGGCTTGATACTTCATAATGTTCTTTTTGTCCCTAGCTTCTCTTTCAATCTTATCTCAGTAAGTAAGCTTACCAATGACTGTCCTTTAGTCTTACACTTTCACTCCAATCTCTGTCACATTCAGGACCAGTTAAGCTTGAAGATGATTGGTTTAGCAAGAGAGCATAAAGGACTTTACCACCTCATCTTTCCACCTACAACCAAAGACCAGCAACCTGACCATCAAGCAGCCACCACCTTCAATTTCCATCCTTTGCAGTTTGATCTTTGGCATTGGAGATTAGGACATGCTAGTAGTGATAGAATTTCCATGTTGCAGAAATCTAATTCTACTGTAACTAGCTCTAAGATTCTACACTGTGATGTATGCCACTTCTCAAAACACAAAAGACTTCCTTTTCCCATCAGTACCAGTATTGCAAAGAATGCTTTTGACTTGGTTCATGTTGATATTTGGGGACCCTTGTCTGTTCAGTCATATGATGGTCATTCTTACTTTCTTACAATAGTGGATGATCATATAAGGGCAGTGTGGGTTTACCTAATGAAACACAAACATGAGACAAGAGAATTGCTAAAGGGTTTTTATGCCTTGGTTCATAATCAATTCAATACCACTGTTAAAACTATTAGAAGTGACCAAGGGCAGGAATTCCATATGAAGGAATTCTTTATGGAGAAAGGGATAGAACACCAGATGTCCTGTGTAGAGACTCCTGAACAAAATGCCAGGGTTGAACGAAAGCACCAGCACATATTGAATGTGGCTAGGTCTCTTAGGTTCCAGTCAGGTTTACCACTTACCTTTTGGAATGACTGCATTCTTCATGCAGTGTACTTAATCAACAGGATGTCAACTCCTATTCTGTCTGGCAAATCCCCATTTGAGGTGCTTTATAACCATCAACCTTTTCTTGGTAACCTTAAGGTTTTTGGTAGCCTGTGTTATGCAAGTACTCTTGGACATAACAGGACCAAATTTGCACCAAGGGCAAGACAGTGTGTTTTTCTTGGAATTCCTGCTGGAGTTAAAGGGTATAAGTTACTTGACTTAGAAGATAGGAAGGTCTTCTTATCAAGGGATGTTGTCTTTTATGACACAATCCTTCCCTTTCGAGACTGTACAGAGTCTGCAACATCAGACTCACCTCCTTCTTCATCTACTTCACCACCTATTCACTATACAACATCAGCTCCACCCATCTTGGTTCCAGCATCTTCTCTACCTACTACTTCTGCACCTGTATCCTTTGATCAGGCCTCAGCTGCAAGGGGGGATGATGACTATAGTCCAAGTAAAGATGCTACTCCAGCAAATGACACTGATGTTTCACCTGAACATGACTGTGAACTACTTCTACAAGTTGACTTTGAACCTCCTCCTCCACCAAGAAGATCACAGAGACAACCAGTGTTACCTGCTAAACTTAATGAATGTGAACTGGACCCTCAGTTAACATTTGGAGCTTTTGGAACAGCAGCAAATGCAAGTAAGCACTCTCTTTGTCTGAATGTTGAATGCTTGAATGAACAAGATAGAATCTATGCTTTAAGTGTGTTGAAGCATGAGGAACCAACCTCATATCATGAGGCAGTCAAGTCCATTGAATGGAATAGAGCTGTCATAGAGGAAATACATGCTTTAGAAGCAAACCGGACCTGGGAAATAGTAGAGGCTCCACCAGACAAACACATAGTTGGTTGTAAGTGGGTGTTTAAACTGAAGTTGAAACAGGATGGTACAATTGAAAGATACAAAGCAAGGTTAGTGGCTAAGGGGTTCACACAAATATATGGGATTGATTTCTTGGACACTTTCTCCCCAGTGGCCAAAATCAACTCAGTAAAGGCCTTACTAGCCATAGCAGCAGTGAAGAACTGGACCCTAGAGCAATTGGATGTATCCAATGCTTTTCTAAATGGGGATCTATATGAGGATGTGTATATGCAGGTGCCCCCTGGGATTGAATTACCTTCTGGAAGCCCTAAGAGGATGGCCTGCAAGCTAAAGAAGTCACTGTATGGCCTTAAACAGGCTTCAAGGCAATGGTTTGCCAAGTTAACTGGTTTTCTGTTGAGAAGTGGGTTTTATCAGTCATCCTCAGACTATTCCATGTTCACTAAGTGGGTTAATGGAAGAATAGTTGTACTACTTGTCTATGTGGATGATATCATCCTAGCTGGGGATGCTCAGAAGGACATTGACCAGGTTAAGAACTCTATGAGTAAAGAATTTAAGATCAAGTTGCTTGGACCTTTAAGGTATTTCTTGGGACTGGAAGTAAACAGGACAACAGAAGGGTTGATGGTCTGTCAAAGGAAATACTGTATGGATTTGCTTGCTGATACAGGATACTTAAATGCCAAAGGATGCCATTCACCATCAGACCCAAATATCAAGTTGACAGCAACAGAAGGCACTTTACTTGAAGATCCAGAACAATACAGAAGATTGATTGGGAGACTTCATTACATAACCATAACAAGACCTGACTTGACATACTCTGTACAACAGTTATGCCAATTTCAGAAGGAGCCCTACTCAGGACACTTACAAGCAGCCTACAGAGTACTTAGGTATCTCAAATCTTGTCCAGACCAAGGTATCTACTACAGCAGTAAGGCAGACTTGAAGCTTGTAGGGTTCTGTGACTCAGACTGGGCCAGCTGCCCTGACACCAGAAGATCAACAACAGGGTACTGCACTTTCCTTGGGAGCTCTCTTCTGACTTGGAAAACAAAGAAGCAAACAACAGTTTCCAGATCATCATCTGAAGCAGAATATAGAGCACTAGCTCTATTGGTTTGTGAGATTGATTGGCTAAGGGTACTGTTGGGAGAAATGGGTGTCAAGATACCTCTTCCTGTTGCTGTGTACTGTGATAACAGATCTGCAATCCACATAGCAGAGAACCCTGTGTTCCATGAAAGGACCAAGCACATAGAGATCGATATGCATGTTACAAGGGAGAGACTGAAGACTGGTTTGATCAAACTATTTCATGTGAGTACAATTAATCAACTTGCTGATATTTTCACCAAGAGTTTGCACAGGATTCGACTGAATGAGCTGTTGGACAAGTTGGGAGTCAAGAAGAGCACTCACAACTTGAAGGGGGTGTGAATTGAGCTTGAATCCTGATGCTGTAAGGACTGGAAGACTAAAGCGAAGTGAAGAAGCAGAAGGATCAATACGCAGACGTTTTGTTATCACTTAAGTTTCCATTTGTTAAAACTCTGTCGTTTTACCTAAGGATCTATTAGCCGTTATTAAACAGTGTTTTGGTTTGTAATAGGCCAGTTGTTGGTTGCCAAGTGGCAATCTGAACTAAGCTGATTTCTTCAGCTGATATATATACTGCAACAGAGCAGCCCCTGCACACTTGAGGGTTTTGCCATTTTGCCCTAGCAAATTCTCCATACGCACAGGCTCGTTAGAGGCAGATTGGCAGCCACCGGCGGCTCCTTTTCGTCCTCCGCCGCAACTCGTCGGATCTCAATTTACGATCGTTGAGGAGCTCTCCTCCTGGTGGCGGTTATACTGATGCACAACCACCAGCAAAGCGAATCCAGAAATCCGGATCTGGATTTCATATATGGTGGTCGGGATATTGAAGAGGATTGTCGCGATTAGCACCGGCCCCCCATCCGTCATTTCTTTCCTCCTCAAGTCAAATCATAAAAAACCCCACCTGTGAAATGAAGTGTAGTGCCGTGGGATTGAGAGAGCAAGAGAGATAGGGGAGGAGGAAGAAGAATGGGTTGTTTGCTGAGATACAAATAGTGGGAGAAGAAGAAGAAGCCTGCAAAAGCCAAAAGGGGGGATATAGATGGAATGGCGATGCATTCCAACATTGAGCAACATGTTATTTGTGGCGAGTGGTTTGAGAGTTCGGTTCTCTTTGAATAATTTGCTTTTGTGTTTGTTCCTTGTTGTGTCTTGAACTGATACAACGCACACAAAATTGGTTGCCAATCGCTTTCCCGGGAATCAAACATGGCCTTTATATCTCCTCCCATTTTCTTCTGAGGATCCCAATAGTTTGCTGCAACAGGGAAGGTTTTTTTTTTGTGTTTGTTCATTTCCAAATGCTCTGTGAAGAGTTAATGTAGATGTAATAGTGGCAGGAGATGGAGAAGAAGTTCTTTTTTTTAATGATTTATTATATTTCTCATATGCATTTGTTGAGGGTATGAATTCGTGTTTGTGTTTTGAATACTCGTTATTGATTTTGAAAAGTTCATTTAAGTTGTTGCTTTTGTTGGATACTCGTTATTCATAACCACATAAAAAAATTTCTACCTCAAACAGAGTAAATCAAACCTTAAAAAACATATCAGAAACCAGCTAATGCATACCACAACTTTCCTTAAACATACCAGAAATCTCATAAAGCATACCATCAACCTCCTAATGCAAACCACAAACACAGTAAAACAAACCACAAACACGGTAAAGCAAACCACAAGTCTTTCATAAGCACATCATAAACCTCCTAACGCAGTCCACAAACGTGATTAAAAAAACCACAAAAAATAAACCAGAAACCTCCTAATGCATACCATAAATCCCCTAAAACAAACCATAAACCTCACAAACCAAACCGCAATATTTTCGAAAGCATACCATCAACCTCCTAATGCAAACCACAAACACGGTAAAGCAAACCACAAACACGGTTAAGCAAACCACAAGTCTTTCATAGCACACCAGAAACCTCCTAATGCAGACCACAAACTTGATAAAAAAACCACAAAAAAGCAAACCAGAAACATCCTAATGCATATCACAAATCTCATAAAACAAACCACAAACCTCACAAAGCAAACCACAACATTGCGAAAGAACACCAGAAACCTCCTAATGCAAACCAAAAACACAGTATATCAAACCACAAAAAAGCAAACCATAAACGTCCTAATGCAGACAACAAATATACTAAAACAAACCAGAAACCTCATAATGCAAACCACAGAGTTTTTGAAAGCAAACCAGAAACTTCTCAATGCAAACTAGAAACACGATAAAGCAAACCACAAAAGGCATAAAAAAATATGAGAAACCAAACCATAAATCTCACAATGCTAAACATAACATTCGGTGGTCGTTGACCGAACTCCGATGATCGTCAGTGACCGAATTCCGGCGCCGATAGGCATATTCCGGCCCCGATGACTAGATTCCGAAGCCAGTAAGCATATTCCGACCACAGTGAGCATATTCCGACGCCGGTAAGCATATTCCGGCGACAAAAAGCATATTTCGGTGACCGGCGACTAGTTTCCGGCGACCGGTGACAGAATTCCGGCGACCAAAATTTTGGTCAAAAAATAAAAAATATTTTTTATTTTTATTTTTAATTATTATTTAAACATATTTTTCATAATGACAATTATCCCCCTGTTATGATTTTACACTAGGTCAACTAAGCTAATAAAAAGTCATCACAATCCTAGTTTTCTATTGGTTGGAGACTAGTGTTGCTACAATATCCGCTCCCATAACAATCAAACTCTCTAACCAAGTGCCGGGCCCGGTACTAGTCTTGTTATAGATGGGTTAATTTGGGCTTAAGAGAAGGATAGGCATTTGCGTAAACCGAGTTATTCCCTCCAAGTTCGAGATAGTTGGGCCTCGATAAAGGAAGTCAAGTCCAAACCACAGCTCAAAACAATCAGAAACCGTGAAGGGTGGCGTTGGGCTCTTAATTCGTTTACTAAGCCCAGGGTCTTTTTCCAGGACAGTTCCAAGTTTCCTAGTCTCTAGGTCGAGATTCCAGTGTTCTCTCCAAAACCCTCTGGGTAGGGTATAACGGAGTAGAGAAGCCGTTGAGAACAGAGAAGGAGGCGCCAATGGGGGAACCACGACAGGAAAGCGTTCCAGTCTTGCCATGGATGAGGCAACCAGTTGACGTCAGTCAGTGTGAAGAATGCCCTCTAGATCTCCTGCCTTGCCTTGATCCCAGGTATGCCTATTGTTCCCGCCCCTGAGCAGTGGAGTTTACTCGATTCATAAACAGTTTCCTTCTTCAATGACCTTGGTTTTGAGCTCGCGATTGGACGATTTTATATCGCTGCTGGTTTCAGGCTGATGGTCGCGCTGCAGGAGTTGGGTTTCTCATCGCTCTTCCCAGTACAAGTTGGCGTGTGGCAGGAAACAATCGGCCCTGGCGCCTTTGAGCGCGACCTCTGCATAAATTCGCCCACTGGCAGTGGTAAAACGTTGGCCTACGCATTGCCTATTGTGCAAGCGCTTTCGAATCGCACCGTCAGATGTTTGCGCGCTTTGGTGGTCTTGCCTACGCGTGACTTGGCCTTGCAGGTTTAGCGCTCCTTCCATTGCAAATTTAGACAGCTACCCCACAGTTTTTCGTCTTATAGATTGAACGAATGCTTTTTCTTGTGGACTTGGTTGGCATTCTTTCGAGATTAGGTGAAGGAAGTGTTTGCTGCAATTGCACCGGCGGTGGGCTTATCTGTTGGTCTGGCAGTGGGGCAATCTTCAGTAGCTGATGAAATATCCAAACTGATTAAGAGACCTAAGCTCGAGGCGGGTATCTGTTACGACCCAGATGATCTTCCACAGGAATTAGAAAGTTCGGTTGATATATTGGTTGCAACGCCTGGTAGGCTTATGGATCATATCACAAGTACTAAGGGGTTTACGCTTGAGCACCTCTGCTATTTAGTAAGTTGCAACTTCTCTCTTAAAGTTTCTCTTTCAGGTTAGAATGTACAGTTTCTAGTGTGTTACTGTGTTTTCTCAGTTGAGATTACCAAATGCAAGCTGGTTTTATCAGGAGTGGACATTTGATCCTTGTGAACTAATCGAAGTTAGCAAATTCAGGTGGTTGATGAAACTGATAGAATGCTCAGGGAGGCATACCAGTCTTGGCTTCCTACTGTTCTTAACTTAACTCGCTCTGATGAAGAAGGCCCTATCCCATGTATTACCAGTTTTCTTCCATCTGCATTTGGTTCTTTGAAAACCATAAGACGATGGTAAGTTGCATGTTTTATTTTGCACTGTACTCCTTCCAAGTAGTTTTATTCTCTAGATGTATATATTGTCCTCTAAATTTTTCTGGGATGTTCTGCCTTTAATGAAGGGATTTCCACCATTCTGGTAGAAAGTGACAACAAATCGGCAAATCGCCTTCCTAGTTGGCCTCTTATAAATGTTAATTCATTTTGCAGTGGCGTTGAAAAGGGCTTTAATGGGAAACCTTATCCCAGACTTGTGAAATTGGTTTTATCTGCCACATTAACCCGAGATCCAAGCAAGCTCGCTCAACTTGATCTACATCATCCTTTGTTATTGACAACTGGGAAGAGGCGCTACCAGGTTCCCGAAAGATTAGAATCCTACAGTTTGGTGAGCTCTTTTTTTTTCTATTCGCTCTGCAGTTAATTTAATAACCTTTTGTATTACTCTTTGCTATCAACTGCATCAAGCTGATCCCTAAATGAATCGGTAGTCTGTTTGATTGTTGTTGTTAGTGAAGGAACTTCTCTGCATTCCAATTTTATTTTTTGAAACTTATTTCTTTATCCATCTGGCAGATGTGTGAGTCGAAGCTGAAGCCCCTGTACTTGGTTGCTGTTCTACAAAGTTTAGGATCGGAAAAGTGCATTGTCTTTACCTCATCAGTGGAATCTACTCACCGGCTTTGCACCCTAGTGAACTTCTTTGATGATTTGAAACTCAATATCAAAGAGTATTCTGGTCTCCAACGTCAATCTGTGAGAAGGTACTATTCGTATTAAAATATCTGGTTTGGTTTCGTAGTGATTGATCCTTAACATATGCACATTAAACGAGGTATCCTGGATTCTGGTGTATTAGTCTGGCTTCCATTTGGGATATACAAGATAAACTGCAAACTACCAAGCATATGCTTTTGCCAATGAAGTTTGTGGATAGCTGTGTTGATAATGTAATACAGCATCTAAACAATGTTTACTGCACTGCAGCAAGACATTAAAAGCCTTCAGGGAAGGGAAGGTACAGGTGCTTGTTTCCTCTGATGCAATGACTCGAGGAATGGATGTTGAAGGGGTGAGGAACGTTGTCAATTATGACATGCCTTCATATGTCAAGACCTACATACATAGGGCTGGTAGGACAGCTAGAGCAGGTCAAAAGGGCCGTTGCTTCACATTGTTGGATAAAGTGGAGGTAATTGTTTCTGCATAAGCTCAATTAGTAGCTCTGCCCTACATCTGATGCCACTAAATGTTCTCCATTGTTCTACTGCCCTGTCCATGGATGCTGAGGAATATGATGGTTTCTCTTAAATCTCTGGATTTTCAATACTGTGTACATCAAGTTATATATTGGTTTAGCCAACATTCTCTCATCATCTTGGCTTGCATTCTTTTTCCATTTCATTGAAGGTCAAGCGCTTCAAGAAACTCTTACAGAAAGCTGGCATCGATTCATGTCCCAGCTACTCTGTGCCTTCCGACTCTCTTGAGTCGCTTCGAACTATTTATCCTTCCGGTAATGACATGGCTTTTTATCTTTTGTCGATGCTACAATTTTATACAGACACTCATCCCATCTTATTTCTATGATCCAGCGTTGGAGAAACTAAAGGAGAAAGTTGAATCGGAAACATCTAAGAAGCTGAAACTTGCCCCCAAGTCTTCTAGAAGAAGCCAAGCAGAGGGGAAAAAATCAAGGAATGATCAATAAATTATCTATTCTGGCCCCGATCTATGTGCCAACTGTACAGGTTAGTTCAACTATCGCTACCTAGATTATCAGAGTAGCAGTTGACTTCATTTTCTAAGATTATTATAGGTTTGCCCACCAGGAGGTATACTTGTCATCTTGTCTGGATACATCGTACTTGATATGTTCAGGTTAAATCGTCCTTAGATTAAAAAAAAAAAGGGGTGTTCCATACAGTCCTCGCCGGAGGTGTGTGGTCTTTGGATCTCTAGAGATATTTTCATAAGTTAGTTGAACAAATACTGAGATATTTATTTTATACAGATTTTGGAACCATTTCAACACATTGACACTTCTTCCTAGAAGTCTATTCCAACAGGTTGATCTCATAAATGATGATTGCCATGATTAATATATCGTGCAGGTTTTAACAGCTCCAATTGTTCAAAGATTCATGCTTTCGATGAATTTTCAGATTATAGGATTGGCCCCGTACAAATAGTTGTTACAAGTAGAAGAAACAATATCTGCTTGTATTTCTCTTCAACTTCTGTTGACATGGATACATACATAGATCCAAACATTGCAAGCTATCTCTACTGACTTCACTGTGGTTTCTGACAATTTAAGCACTTGTTCTACAGATAGAGTTTACAAAAAGACCTCCCATCTGCTGCAACTCCAGTCAAGAAACATCTCTGACCAAAACAAACATTGTTCCCCTTTCACAACTGGGAAAAAAAGAAAACAAAAGGGGAGAATTGAGAATGCAAAACTGCATTTCTTCTACAAGTCACAGACAGGAAAGTCTCTGGTAGAAGCATAATCTGTGGTCTTTCAGAGATCAAAAAGTGATCTTTGGATCCCGGTGAGCAAGTGCTCGGATTTAGCAGCAGCAGCAGCAGAAGAAGAAGAGGAAGAGGCAGTGGAGGTGTTGTTATTAGGAGCTGCAAAAGTGCGGGACCTGGTGGAGAGAGCATCAAAGCTGGCAGTGGTGGTGTCTCTCTCTTCTTCCTTGATGGTATCCATCATCTTGGATGCTCTGCGCCTCATGACACTAACATACTGTGACGGTGCTACCTCTGTGATGAACCTTGCTATGCGGGCATTCGCCATTTCTTTTGGTAATAAATTCTTTGAAGTTATCAGAAACAGGATAGAGAAGAGAAAGCTGGAAGAGGAAACTAGTTTGTGTTGTGTAGGAGAGAAGCTAAGAGAAGAGATGGAGTTGGGATGAGCAAGAAGCAGCAGAAAGGGTAAGATTTATAAGGGCAGATTCGTGGGCTTGTATCGAGTAAAGGGTCCTGGTCAATGAGAAATTAGGGTGTCGTAGTGGCAAAGTAATGTTTTATCAGCTAGTGCCGCCTCTTACTTTTGGTATTAATTGTTGAACAAATGGGTGATGCCTCTTGAAAGAAAGACTGGAGTAAGGTTTTTGGTTACGTGTCATGCGCAGTGTGGAAGATGAGATGATCTCCCAAAGATATGGTTTTTGTCAGGGAAGCTACCTTCCAAACGAGCACTTTACTTGTGGGGTTAAGGCACTAAGGATGGCTGCCATCTGTCGTTTCTTCTGTCTGTTGCTCATTTCTAAGGGTGGTAATTCAATTCAACGGACGGCCAAGATAGCTTTGTGTATTCATCATGCCTTCTGGCTGTACGGGTCTCTCTTCAGTAGGGAATTAACAGTGGAAAACTTGCTGCTGAATGAAACGATCTGAATGAGAGATCAAAACGTTAGTGGGCTTTCCTTTTCAGTCATGGCCTAGTAGTGGCTTTCGGTAAAGTTGCATTTTGGGTCATATCTGTTGGCCTGTTACGATCGGGTCAGGGCTTATGCCGTACGAGTTCATGCACTTGAAGGAAAAGCAGTCGTCGTTTCCTATCGTGACTCATCGAGGAACTGGAAAGTTTTGATGTTTATCCACAAACAGAAAACAGGACTGGGCTGTGTTGTTAAATCAAAGGTGTGTATAACTCGTTGTAAATTGATTATTCATAATTAAAAATATTTGATTGTCATGTTATAGAAGGAAAATGAAGCCTAGAGTTGTTTATTTATTTATTTTTATAATGGATGCAACGAACTTTCATTCAAAACCAACCGGGGTAAAAAACCTTTTGACAGTCATACAATAGCAGATGCGAGAGCACCATATCGGAAATCGGAAACAAATGACAACCATAGGTAAGGTGATGACCCTGACTAGCAAGTTAATCAGCACAAACATTACCCTTGACGTAGTCCTCGAGATGGAACGAATGTCTTGGTGAGAGTGCCATTCCACAAAACCTGCGTACCGGAAGAGGAGACACAAGCCATAATCGTCATAATGAGATCCCCAGGACACCCTGTTGCTTCAAGTGTTTCGCGCAGGAAACCCCAGCTGATTCGGTCATAAGTCTTAGCTAAATCGATCGTCAATATTATCTGACCCTTCCTCCCTTTCTTCAAACCCATGGAATGCACAACCTCCGGAACAATGATGATGTTTTCTGTTATGTGCCTCCCCGGGACAAAGGTGGTTTGGGTTGGGTGCACCAGACGACGCATAAGAGGTTTAATATTGTTCACAATACATTTTGCCACAGTCTCGTACGACACATTACACAGACCAATCGGGCGAAACTGCTGGATGGTCTCCAGAATCTCCTTATTGGGGATGAGGACGATAAGAGTCTCGTTCACCTCCTTAATCAGAACCAGATCCATAAAGCACCTGCAGACAAACTCCGAAAATGCATCCCCCACCCTCTCCCAGCATTTTTGGTAGAACAGCGGTTGGAACCCATATTTGCCCGGGGCTTTAAGTCCCCCCCATATATTTGACAGCAGCCCAAACCTGCTCTCGCATCAAGGGTCTAACAAGTGCATTGCCAATGTCATCATTCAGCCTGTTAAAGCCATTCGGCACCCACGGAGCAGGGCCAGCCTCAGCCAAGTACAAAATCCTATAAAAGTCCCTTGCCATCTCCTGCAAGACAACATCATCATGAACCCACTCACCATTCTGGTCTTGGAGCGCTGATATCTTATTAATCCGACACCGTTTGAGAGTGGACAAGTGAAAGAACCAGGTGTTTTTATCTCCTTGGGTAATCCAGGAAGCCCGCGACTTCTAAAACCATAAGAGTTGCTCCTGCCAAAGTGTCGATTCTAACTCCGGCCACACTCTCTCTTCCTACTTCCGAGACTGCACAGTAGCCGAGGTTTCATTGAACTCTTACAACCGGCGGAGTTGTCTAGCCAGGTCTCTCTTACGTCGGAAGATGTTGCCGAAGACTCGCTTATTCCAACTTTGGAGGTCGGTCTTAAGCTTTACCAGAGACGTTGGCAATGAGAGAACATGTTTCCAACTCATCTCCAGGAGGCGAGGGAAATCCTCATGCCCCAACCAAGCTGCTAAAAAAACGAAATGGACGAGTGCCTCCACTCCGTTTTCCATGGGCCTCGGTACAGACTCGAAGAGGTGGTGGTCTGAACCAACCCGCTCTAAATGATGACTTATTGATTCTGAGAATTGCTGGAACCACCTTCTTTGGCACACCGCCGAGTCAAGCCTTTGAGATAAGCCACCCCTCTTCCAGGTGAAACGGGGGTCCTGTGAAACCCACTTCCATCAACCCGCATGCATCCAGACAGTTACGGAAGGCACTTCTTCTTGATTCCAAATAGGCTCCGCCCCCCATTCGATCATTTGGACCCATGATAGAGTTGAAATCTCCCACCAATAGCCACGACTCTATAGTCTGTGTAGCAAGCAGCCACATCTTGTCCCACGATCTTGTCGACGACTGGGATGCGGACTCCCATAGACCACAGAGATAACAACTGGTGGTCCCCTACTACCTCGTCTCTTATAGGAAAAATAAATCATCTGCTCCCAAGCTTCGAGCTCTGAGATCATCAACTCCTGCTCATCCCAAAAAACCCTGATGCCTCCTGCAAAGCCAACAACATCAACCAACAACACGCCATCAAACCCGATATGAGAAATGACCTTTTGAGCCATCGATCCACTGATCCGGGGCTCCACAATAATTACAATATCCGGCCGTGTAGGCACAAAAAAGATCGTAAAATGGAGATAAACTTGTCGTGACCTGCCCCTTGGCAGTTCCAAGCAAAAAAATTTAACATGATAACAAAAACCAGGAAGAAACAAACAAAAAGAGCAAAGGAAAGGGACTCCCCGAACAGCCAGCAAAAAGCTGGGAATTAGCGCACACGACTAGTGGCCTGTTGGCCATCTTTACCACTCGGCTTTGGATCACTGATAAGCATAGACGGAGAATGACCAGCCCCCTGAGCCTCCTTTGTACTACGTTTGCGCCTTTCATCCGAACCATTTAATCCCCCGGAATCGACTGGCAAGCCCACCTTGACTGGTTGAGTCGAACTTGTCCCACCACTCTTCCCTGTCTTCTTTTCCACCATGGTACTGTCGGAATTGGTAGGGACCGCCTGGTGTGTTTCACCTAGGGGTGTCAGTCGGTCGGTTTCGGTTTAACCAAAAACCAATTTTTCGGTTATCGCTTAAATCGAGTCGTCTCCTATGGTTGCCGACCACTGACCGTGAGGAAGCTATGGGTAGCCGACCACCGACCGACCGGTTTTCGGTTTTGGTTAGGTTATACCGCAATTAACCAAAATTATTAAAAAAAAAAGAAACCACCCCACCCCTCCCATGTGTTATTCTCTCTTGTTTTGTTAGGTAGCAATAAAAAAATAAAAAAGAAAGAGAAGAGGAAGCCCACACGTTTCTTATCTTCTTCTTCTTTCTCTCCTCTTTGTTTTCCTAAGAATAACAAAAACCAGACCTTCTACTCTCCTCTCCCTGCTTCTCCTAAACTGCACCCTCCAAACTCTTCTTTTTCTCTACTCTCTCTACTTCTATGAAGAAGGAGAAGCGGCAGCGGCGTGCGGTCGACGGGAAGAGCAAGGGCGGCGGCGATCTTCTGCTTGTCTTTGTTTTCATCTTGTTTCTCTTCCTTTTTCTGATGCTGTTGCTGGGGGTCAAGTGGTCGACAAGGGTTGCGGGTCGGCGAGGGGACGACGAGGGTCGTGGGTCAGCGAGGGTTCGCACGGGGTTGGGGGTCGCCGGTAAAAAACTGGAAGGGCAGGGGCTCGCGGGAGGTCGACGGTCACGGGGTAAGGTGACACGTCGGCGGGTCACTAGGAAAGGGAGGAGTGCTGGAGGATGCAGCGGGGGGGGGGGGGGGGGGGGGGGGAGATGAAGGAGGCAGGTAGGGTTGACGTTGGGTTGGGTTATTTTTAAGGTTGAAATTATTGAAACTGTGTCGTATATAGACATTGATGGAAGGTGATTCGGTTTGCCGGTTAAACCGGCTTCGGTTATCGGCTAGCCAAAGTGACCAATCTATGTGCCGACAACCGACCGCCTTTGATATATGTCGGTTTTTGTTTAGCCGCTAATCGGCGGTTATCGGTTGAACCAACCGATTAGTTGCTAAGCGGAAACCGAACTGCCACCCCTAGTTTCACCTCTCTTCTTTCCCTGTCCTTTGTTATGTTTCATCCCGTTGCTACTCACCTCTTTAGGCAAGGCCACCGATTGGATCACGGGTACCGTAACCAGTTTATCAATCGTCTTAGTCGTGAGCATAGATGCCTTGGCATTAGCCACCTGGACCACACCCGAGTCAGGCACTTCTACAGGTTTCTCCGAGGTAGAGACACGGGGTGCCTCAACTATCGTGATATCAGTCATCATCACCTCCCCTTGTAAACCGTCTTGTGCTAGTACTTCTGTCCCCGGAGTGCCAATCTCCTCCTCCTCTTCCTCCTCCTCTTCCTCCTCCACTAAGACATCAAAGCGGGTTCCCGAGCTAGGCCTTGACGATTGAGGAGGTTGTGTCTGGCCAATTTTAGTAATATCAGTGCGCTTGCTCACCGATTTTCGTGACCGTGGCTTGGCTACCATCCATTCCACATAAACCTTAGGCGGGTTCGGCGCCTTAGGAGCAGCCTCCTCCAACTCTATTTGCTCCTTCTCTAGTTGCTTCTCTGGTTGCTTGAAAAGGGAAGGGCACGTCTTAACTGTATGTCCGTACCGCCCACATTCAGTGCAGATTTGATGCAACCCTTCAAACTCAATACAGTATGTCAACCCTTCTATCTTAAACTGCGAGAGGAGGGGATTAGTAAGATAAACTTCGACACAAACGCGAGCAAATCTTCCCATATCCCCATTCTGAGTAGGTCGATCCACTTTGACGGGGCGACCAATCTTGGAGGCGATACGCTCCACAACCTCCGTGTTAATGAATTCAATTGGAATCCCTGTGAACCGTGCCCACACCATGGTCGATGCCACTTCAGCAGTCTTGGGATTGAATCCCTTCCTCCAAGGCCGGACAGTCAGGTAGTGCCCACCAATCATCCAAGGACCTCCTGCCGCAGTCTGTTCATAGTCCATTTGGCTAGTAAATGGGACAACGTAGAAACCCCGTGATAAACTTTGCCAATAATGACTCCAGCCTTCAGGAGACAACCTGAAATGGAAAGGACCTACCCAACGCTTTAACAATCAAGGCAGAACGTCATTTGCGATGGTATCGCTGCTTCTCCATCGCCTTGAAAGGTATGGTTGGACATCTCGGATCGTCATCCTCTGGGATTTCATCATCCATACCATCCTCCTTCATCGCAGCTGCGACGTCTTCGGAATCTGATTCGGCTATATACTATAAATCCTCAACGAGAACTTCGCTAAAAAGCTTATGCGGGCCCGACGTCCAAAACGTCGAATGCTGCTGGCCCTCGCGGCTTTGCGGAGAGAAGTCCTCTCCTTGCATGGGCTCTGACTCTTGATTCGGAGTATCTTCTACTATCGACGAGCTCTCAAAAAGGGGGTTCGAGCTCATCGATTTCACACATTTCTTTGCCTGTTGGGCTCCTTGTTAGAGCTCCTTCAATCAGTAGTAGTGAATCGCTTATACGAGAGTTAGTCGATTCACATCTTTGTACTGGAATCCAATTCCAGTAGTGGAGTTCTATGTTAACTGCCTCAGCGTTCTATCCCGGTGAAGACTAGTTGTCTGCCGGGTAGTCTGTCTGAGAAGGCTTGGTCAGCTTAAGAGATTCAAAGCTACTGTCGGATCTTCCGCAGTTTAATCAACAGTAAATCAACCAAAGGTAATTACAACTTTGACCTAACTAAGGAGCTAGGGGGACTCATTCCCGAGTGACTCTTCCCCTGCTTAAGAACTTCGAACCATTTCATACTTTCTTACTGCTTTTGCTTAAAATCACATTCACTCAACTTAGTCTGCTAGATAATAGATAATCACGGAGTAGGCAGTAGATATAGACCTCGGGTTGATAAATAGAACTTGCCACTATTCTACATTTCCGGAATGCGATTACACTTGGTCGCAGTTTGGTGTTGATTTTTAGCGTGTTAGGAACTAAACCCGTATCTGAGTGAGGAGAAGAACATAAGCTGTTTTCCGTTGTGTCATCTTCTTCCTCGTTCTTTTCCCGCCTTTTTTTCAATTCGTTTTTCAATCCCTAATATAAGATCGATCAACATAGTATGCAAATACAACTATTTATTATGTTGATGTGACTTGACACATAGGCATATGTGTTACATGGTGTTCAATCAAAATGGTGGACTGATCCGCAGTTAAGATACGAGATATGGATACCTATTTACAGGGGAACTTATAATGTGATCACAATGTTTTAAGTGAGAATTCCTAGAGTTGAGCTTATCAGAAATTACTACATCTCAGTGTCCATACTTTGATACAATGCCCGATGGTGTTAAAGAGTGCACCAAGTGGAAAGTCATTGGGTACAATGCAACAGATCTGACAATGCAAGATAAGGATTTCCCTCCTAATTAAAGGAGTATAATATCAATGAACTCAATAGACATATATGAGATCGATGCGAAGATGGATCTATATCAAACATGATAGATCCATGAATGGAATCTCCTCACGATAATCTGTAACAAAATATTCATAGTTTGCAATATGTTCACAAAAGAGGATGACTAAGTTCCTTTCTCCTTTTTGACTTGGGTGAAGATGTGCTGCTAGGTGTTGCTCAGGAAAAATTCAAAAACCCTAATTCTAAATCGTTCATATGCACGGTAGGGGACGAAGTTGCGGAAGGAGGCCGCCAAGAGCTGGCATCTGAATCAGTTGGCCGGGGTACCGGGGGAGAGGCCCCGGGTCCGACAACAATCATTGTAGATGACGGTGACGCATAGGTCGGGACAGAGAAAAGTGCCGCTCCGGAAATATCGGAGCTGTAGGGTTTCCAGTTGTTCCTTGCTAAGAACTAACTGAAGCCTAGAGTTGTTAATTGCATTTTCTGTGCTTTTATGCAAGATAGTGTTAATAAGGAGAAGTGAGTTAAGTGACACCTTTGATGAATTTTTAAGGATAAAGGACTTGTTGGTTGGGTTGATCCGCAGCCGAGATACGAGACATGGATACCTATTTACGGGGAACTTATAATGTGATCACAATGTTCTAAGTAAGTAAGAATTCCTAGAGTTGAGTTTATCAGAAGTTACTACATCTAAGTGTCCATACTTTGATACTATGCCCGATGGTGTTAAATAGTGCACCAAGTAGATAGTCATTGGGTACAAGCACTAGGTAGTAGGTATGCAAGGGATCTGACAATGCAAGTTAAGGATTTCCCTCCTAATTAAAGGAGTATAATATCAATGAGCCCTTCGATGAATATTGTCTACGAAGTGGCTGGCCAAGCCAAGTCAAATGATGTGTTCATATCAAACATGATAGATCCATGAATGGAATCTCATCATGATAATCTGTAACAAAAGAATCATAGTTTGCAATATGTTCACAAAAGAGGATGGCTAAGTTCCTTTCTCCTTGTTGACTTGGGTTAAGATGTGCTGCTAGGTGTTGCTCAGGAAAAATTCAAAAACCCTAATTCTAAATCGTTCATATGCACGGTAGGGTTGCAATGATTCCATTGTTGGGATTTGAAAGGTGTGAATGAGAATGAAAGGGGAATAAGCCAATAGTTGGTGAGTTATTGGTTAAACCAAGTTGAATCGAATCGGACCAAACCGATATGAAACCAACCGGTCCAACTACTATGGCGAACCGATGCAATGGTTGGGGTGTAACCACCCACTTGAAGGGTCACATCCCTTCACTGAACCATTGCAATGGTTGGGGTGTAACCACCCACTTGAAGGGTCACATCCCTTCACTCGCACCCCTTCATTGTCTATAAATAAACACCTACCCCCTTATGTTTTCTACACAAGTTATTTTCCCAAGAAATTTTTCTGGCCAAAAGATAAAAGAATTTTTCATTCTTCATTGCATTTCCTCACTACAAACTCATAAAGAAAAAACAGAGTCGTGTGACTTCTCTCCGATCGTTGCGTTCGTCGGATTCTGGTGTTTCAAGTACCGGTACAGCCAGAAAAGGTACGTCCGTTCTATCCTGGGAGGAATAGTTCCAATAACCTTGGGTACCGTAGAGGGGAACTAAATTCCTTAAGGAGAAATAGTGAATTCTATTGGCTCGGGCGTTGTTTGTGCATGTGTCGATTTCTATATATGATTTGTGTGGCAAGAAACATACTTTTGTGAAACGTTTTCCATAACAATCTTAAGGAATTTATAATAATTATTCTTGTATACTATTTATGCCGGCGTAACCGAATGGTCTAGCGCAATTAATTGCATGATCATGTTTATACATGGATTTGGATGTATTTGTTTTTTACGTAATTGGTTTGGGGAAATGCATGCTGCTGAGATTTGATTCTTTAATCAAGTTTGCCGTAAAATACTTTCTGTGTGTTGGCATGGCGATTATGCATGTATTGTGTTGTTCCAAAAATTGCATTACACGTTGCATGAATTGGTGTAGAAAGAAAGGAACCCAATTCTGGCAGTGATATATAAGCACCAGAAAAAGGAATTCTAATTCTTCTAATTCATAATGTATTCGTGTGTACATGTATTCGTGTATACATGTATGTTCCCCTGAGTGAATGTTTTTAAGGAAGATATGATCATGTTTTATACGTTTTAAGAATCTTATTCATGTATATATGTTTCATTGTATATATATGTGGATACTTGTGTATAAATATATATATCTTGCCGCTTGCATTTGGAATGCAACTGTATGCATTTTTTTTGTGTGGATGTATATCCATTGTTTCAAAGAGGAGGTTGCTCGCATGATTCGATGATTTGGTTGGAATAACATTGAGCGGATGTAACCGCTTGTCTCCTCCAATCAAAAGAAAAGAAAAGAAAAGAAAAGAAAAGGGATTATTGATCTCTAATTCACTGTTCATTGCAAGAAAACCCATGGTTTCTGATTTGATAAGTGTGTTCATTCTGTTAGAAAAGAAAATGGTTGGTATCACCCCCGGAGTATGGAGTCCAACTCACGAGGATGATGACGATGACGTCATAGAGGTCACTAATATCGAATCAGATCCGGAGATTATTGAGCTCTCTACTCCCGAAATGGAGTTTGACAATGAAGAGTGGTTCGATTTTTATGACGATAGCGGGGATTTGCTATATAATGACATTGGTGGAGAGCATCCAACCAATTATTGGACTCTAGATGGAATACCCATCTATGATTGGTACTCAATGGGTCCTAATGTGGACGATTTGGGCACCCATGTGGACTCGATGGAGAGTATGGGGGAAGAAGAGGAAGTTGAGGAATCGGAGAACGAGGAGGAGTACTCCGACATAGCGACCGATGAATGCCTCTCTGATCCTGACTTCGACCCCAAGAATCCTTAGGATTCTTCTATATGTATTGTAATCTCCTTTGAGGAGTAGACATATGTATGTGTGTATATATACATACGGTATTAGTAGGTGTGTACCTATGTAATTCGTGTATTTACATGATGAATGAAGAACAAATGTTCTTATCTCCCAAGTGGAAATTTAGTTGGATAAAACCTTACGAGTTTGTTTGGTTCCAAAATTAACCACAAAGTTTTAATGCTTTTATTGCATTGGTCCATCTCAATTATGTGGCATGGATGAATGACAATTGTACCAATTTAATTTGGACACTTTTTCCATTCAAGGTGATGCATGAGATGATGGACGTACTTATGATAGTCCTTCATGGAATCTAAGTAACGGTGGTTTGGATAGTAATAAACTATCTAGTGGGAAACTATGAACAATCATAGGTGTGTAAAACCTATGGCGCATGGCAAGTGGGGACTTGTGAGTAAAGTCTATCTAAGCCAGAATGTTTGCATAGGTTATGTTCAAATTAAGTTGAACATAGTTATGAAAGAGTATACCTCCAATGTGTTGGAGATGAAATTTGGTTAATGCACGTTTAAAGGATTGCATTACGAGTAAGCCATAAGTGATAAGGAATTATAATTCCTAAGATGCTTGTGATGACATAATAATTTGTTTATTATGTATGTGGTTTAGGACTTGATGTTTCTTATGCCATGAGGGCAAGGAAAATGAAGCTATGATTGATCCTTGTAGGGATTTAATAAGCTTGCCAAATGATGGTTGTCATCAAGATAAGCATTAGGTCAGAATTGTTTATGACCTATGATTATCAACGTGAAGCTCATTGACAGAATTGTTTATGGTATATATAGATATATATCATTGGAAAACAATTTGGCATGAGAGCTCAATTGAGATGATCTTATTAAACTTAAAAGTCTGGATTACTTATGGTATATTTATGAAGTTTATACCATTGGAAAGTGATTAGACAATCGAATTAGAAATTCGTTTGAATTACTTGTGGTATATCATGTTACATAAATGAAATGTCATTGGTAAGTAATTAGATGGGATTTCCATTCCTGGAATGCATCTGAATTACTTATGACGTCTCAAGTTGCCTTGAGCAATACCATTGGTAAGTAATAGGATGATATTTCTAATAAAATCTGAATTGTTTGTGGTATGCTAATCGAGTGAGATCATACCATTGGTAAACAATTAGATACATATAGTGGTTGGAAAGTTCAATAAGTAAAACCATGGAAAATAAATGGGATTATTCCATGATGTTTGGCAAAGGGTAGAATTGTGGGGGAGAAGAGCTAGCCATTGTTTCGGCTACTATCTCAAGATCCTACAATGGGACGCTAACCTATCCATACGACAAAAGTGGAAAGGTAAACGAAGTCATACTTGAAAGTATGAAGGTGTCCAATGAGAAAGTGAGAGTCCTTAAACCTTGTGGAGTTAACCCAGTCAAGGGTATAACTTATGAGTAAACTCTAGCATATATTGACGTTATGTCAGAAAGCTAGAATATTTATTGATGTTGATCCACTCTTCCCAAAGAGATGATTTTGACCATATACATGAATGTATATGAACAACATTCCCCAAACCGGAAATGTTGGTTTCAACAACTATGGCGAAATAGTTGAAATGTGGGATAAATTGGGGAGAAGTAATGTGGAATGTCGCTTGGGTGATTCTAAAGTGAAAGTGATACTTAGAAGTTTTGCGTAAACCCTAAGCTAAGTCATAAATGTCACTACATTTAAAGAGATACTGGTGAAGCACAAGTACTCTAAGGTTAATGAAGTGGAGAGACTTCAATACCGTTGGCATGTGTTATGATTATTGCAAGGCAATAAAATCAAGTCAAGCTCACAAGATGTGTAGTGCATTGAAAAGAGACGAGTCTTTGGTGTATTGTACCCAAAGGGAACTCACCGGATGAACCAAAAGGAAATCTAATAATAAATATGCATTTATGGTTGATGGGGAGCAGTACCTTGGAAAACTTCCAAATTAAACTATGTACCCACTCTAAGACCGGTGAAGTTCTATAGTATGGCCCGCAAAGACTGGCGTTAATAAAACGCTATTGTGCACAAAGGTGTTATTGCAAGGGCTAGGAGTGTTATGTGATAAATCTCGTCAAAGATAATGGAAACGTAACACTATGAATTGATTAATTTCTAGCAAAGTTATTTGGATTGATCATCTTAGTTCAAGTGATAACAAACGTTAGGCCTACCTAGAAATTAACGATAGCATCGAAGGGAATGGACTCGTGGCCTAGGACAAATCATCATGGCGGTAACTCTACCTAAGCAGGATTGGCAGACCCAACCTCTAGGTTCAAGGAGAAAACAAAGTTGTGAATGATGGTCCGACATTGTCAACTTATTCAAAGTCCATTCTCATGATGAGACAATGTCCAAAATATAAGGGTAAACCTAAATATGAAAGATTTTTAATGGTTTCTAAGTTTGACACGTGTTGTGATCAAATAGTGTATTTTCGGAATACATGTTTAGAAATCACCTATGTGAGTGTGAAGTGGAGCCGCTTTAAGGAGAATAAAAGAAGGCCAATTCTCTACGCACTCATGAAACCAGGCGGTGTTCATGGCTGAAACGAACACAACAATGAGAACCAACGAGCGGATAAGAGTTGGTTGTGTGACATATGTTGTCTTAGTATACAAGAAAAACCGACGGTTCAAAGATATCATATCTACCGATTGGTGAGTATACTCGATATATGTTCACTAGGGAAGGTTCAAAGGGAAACCCACCTATCCTAATACAACTAATTCTTAGTTGAGAGTCACACAGTTTTTGCATAGTTTTCAAAACTTAGCATTCTCTTTCATGTGGGGGATTGTTGGGATTTGAAAGGTGTGAATGAGAATGAAAGGGGAATAAGCCAATAGTTGGTGAGTTATTGGTTAAACCAAGTTGAACCGAATCGGACCGAACCGATGTGGCGGTTGGAATGAAACCAACCGGACCAACTACTATGGCGAACCGATGCAATGGTTGGGGTGTAACCATCCACTTGAAGGGTCACATCCCTTCACTGAACCATTTCAATGGTTGGGGTGTAACCACCCACTTGAAGGGTCACATCCCTTCACTCGCACCCCTTCATTGTCTATAAATAAACACCTACCCCCTTCTGTTTTCTACACAAGTTATTTTCCCAAGAAATTTTTCTGGCCAAAAGATAAAAAGAATTTTTCATTCTTCATTGCATTTCCTCTCTACAAACTCATAAAGAAAAAACAGAGTCGTGTGACTTCTCTCCGATTGTTGCGTTCGTCGGATTCTGGTGTTTCAAGTACCGGTACAGCCAGAAAAGGTACGTCCGTTCTATCCTGGGAGGAATAGTTCCAATAACCTTGGGTATCGTAGAGGGGAACTAAATTCATTAAGGAGAAATAGTGAATTCTATTTGTTCGGGCGTTGTTTGTGCATGTGTCGATTTCTATATATGACTTGTGTGGCAACGCTCATTGTAGATGGCGGCGACGCATAGAGTCGGGACAGAGAAAAGTGCCGCTCCGGAAATATCGGAGTTGTAGGGTTTCCAGTTGTTCCTTGCTAAGAACTAACTGAAGCCTAGAGTTGTTAATTGCATTTTCTGTGCTTTTATGCAAGATAGTGGTAATAAGGAGAAGTGAGTTAAGTGACACCTTTGATGAATTTTTAAGGATAAAGGACTTGTTGGTTGGGTTGATCCGCAGCCGAGATAGGAGACATGGATACCTATTTACGGGGAACTTATAATGTGATCACAATGTTCTAAGTAAGTAAGAATTCCTAGAGTTGAGTTTATCAGAAGTTACTACATCTAAGTGTCCATACTTTGATACTATGCCTGATGGTATTAAATAGTGCACCAAGTGGATAGTCATTGGGTACAAGCACTAGGTAGTAGGTATGCAAGGGATCTGACAATGCAAGTTAAGGATTTCCCTCCTAATTAAAGGAGTATAATATCAATGAGCCCTTCGATGAATATTGTCTACGAAGTGGCTGGCCAAGCCAAGTCAAATGATGTGTTCATTTGAGCTTGAACTCAATAGACATATGTGGGATCGATGCGAAGATGGATCTATATCAAACATGATAGATCCATGAATGGAATCTCATCATGATAATGTGTAACAAAAGAATCATAGTTTGCAATATGTTCACAAAAGAGGATGGCTAAGTTCCTTTCTCCTTGTTGACTTGGGTTAAGATGTGCTGCTAGGTGTTGCTCAGGAAAAATTCAAAAACCCTAATTCTAAATCGTTCATATGCACGGTAGGGTTGCAATGATTCCATTGGTATAGAGAAACAGTTGGAGTTCTTGACAACAACAAGGGCTACAACAACTTGGTAGGAGCATATACTATCATGATGACTTCGGTGAAGATGACTCATCGTTAAACAAATGGATTTTGATACGTCTACGATGGTCGATACACGATGAGACATCGGTGCACCAATTCCCACATCAGCTTGATGTTTAACAACTTCGAGGAGGATAAGTAGCAAAGGAGGATGGTTTCGATCAAATATTGAGGACAAGGTTTTGCTCGAAAGAGAAGGCAATTGATGTAGAGCCGTTCAAATATCATCATCATCATCATCTTACTATCTATCTTAATTGGTAACATCAGAGGTTAATTATCGTATAATGCATTAGCATAATTGATAATAATAGAAGGCGTAAGTAGCAGTAGCAGTAGCATAGACAAATATATTCAAACATTACAAGCCATCTACTGCAAACTTCAGTCCACAAAGGCACAAACAATCTCTGACCAAAACAAAACAGAGTTCCCCTGCCTCAACTGGAACCCAAAGCAACAAAGAGGGAGGGAATGGACAGAACAAAACTGCAGCACTTCTTCTAAGAAGCCAAGCCACACAAAGGAAGCTCTCTGGTTTTTCAGACACAAACAAGAGTTCTTTGGATCCCGATGAGCAAGTATTCGGACTTAGCAGCAGCAAACGAAGGAGAGGAATCAACGAAAGTGAGGGAATCATCGGAAGAGAAAGCGTCGAAGCTGTTGGCGTCAATGGTGAAATCTCTATCCTCTTCGGAGATGGTATCCAGCATCTTGGATGATGCTCTGCGCCTCATGACACTAACGTACCGCGGCGGTGCTACCTCTGTGATGAACTTTGCTATGTGGGAATTCGCCATTTTCCTTTATTCTCTGGATTACTACTAAATTTCTCACTTGCTACCGAAAAAGAGCAGAAACAGAGGAACTAGTTTGTGTTGTTGTTGTGTAGGAGACTCAAGTTTGGGAATTGGGATGATGAGCAGGAATAGAGCAACTATGGCGGTTAGATTTATAGGCTAAGTTGGAGGGGTGGAGTTACGTAAAGGGTCCTGGTCAACCCAGAGATTGGGGGTAACGTGATGGAGATTAAAGTAGCATTTGATCAGCTAGTGCCGCCTCTTGCTTTTGGTATTAAATTGCAGTGGTGACAGATGGGCGAGAGAGAGAGATCGATGTGTTTCTAGCTAGGTAGCTAGTTGGTCTCTTGAAGAAGAAAGAACATTTGAGAGATGGGTTTATGTGTCGTCATGGGTATCGTGGGATTAGATGAGGAGAGGAGATTACCTTTCCAGAGAGAGGGATTTGCTACCTTCCAAATGAGCACTTTTCTAGCTTTATGAAGGGGATCTTAGTAGGATCAGCAAAGGAGTTAGTGGTTAGGTACTTAGGTTAGATGGTTTAACGAGAGTAATCAGGTCCTGATATCATGTTCGTCAAATATTGAGTGTTGAAATCCTACTAATATGCGGATTTGAGAGAGGGATATGATCCATGATCAACCTAGCTAGAGTAATTCAATACTTTATTTGTTTGGTCATCAGAGTTGTGCTAATATTATTTATCTTATGACAACGAGTCGTCCCTACTAAATTAGATAGTAGGATTTGCTCTAACAAAATAGAGATATGCATGCGTGTATTGTAATCGATAGGGGTGGAGAGCCGGTTGGTTTGGTTATAACCGAAGGATTGGTTATCAGTCAACCGAACCACCTCCCAACCCTACCGACCACTGACCGAAAGAGGGCTTAAGCCTTCGGTTATCTCGGTTTTCGGTTAACCGAATAGCCCCAAGACCAAAACCAAATCACCCCCTGACCCACAACCTGTTCGTAGCCTGATTTGACAAAAAATCAACCACCCGAAGCTCGCCCCAAACCCGAAACCAATTGACCCGTAATCCAATCTACCCATAACTCGATGAACTCGTTATCCGATCCAACCCATAACCCGGTCCATCTATAACCCGAATGATTCATAACCCAAATAACCCGTAACCGCACCGAACCCTACTCGAATAACCCGAATAACCCATTTGACCTGAATGCTTGTACAAAAATTCAATGTATACATTATTATACTTTTAAATTTACCAAGAAATCATTGTTGTTCTCATAATAATTGAAAATTATTTGTAAAATTGATGGTAAAAATTGAGATTTTTTCTTAAATATTTATTTTGAAAATAATGATATGTGAAATATCTTTTCATTCATTTTTTATTATATGAAATTCAAAGGATTAATTGTTGAAGATAATCGGAAGAGTTAGACACAAAATCGTATCTCCACCACCCATAACTATTTTAAAAAAAACCTAACCCTTGAAAATCAATGAAATCCCCAAAATCAATGATCCCTATCAAGATATATAAGTGGATAGTTTACCCTTTTTACTTCATTCTCAACTTTTTACTGATTTTATTTATTTTTATAAATTAATAAATCAACGATTCGAACTAGATAAGACCATATATTTGAGCGAATCGTTGTTCCACCCATGAGTTTTAGGATGAGATGTTACTGTGAATATACAAAAAATTGTGAAGATATATAAGTGGGTGATTCAGAATGGTGTTCATAAGTCTTCTTGGAAATGAAAAGACACACATCTAGCTCATACTATATTTAATTAACACGATCCATATCGAGATGTATAAGCATATAGTCTACCTTTTTTACTTCATTCTCAAATTTTTATCGATTCAAATTTTTTTAGAAATTAACAAAATAAATGAAGTTACTATCTCTCACCATGAACAAAAAAATTATAACCAACAACAAAGCTTTTATATACACTATTTTCTTTATATTTAGTTTTTATACTAACATAATGGATATTTAATTTGTATGTATAAAGTATTATCATATTATCATTTTCTTAAATTTTGTATCATTACCTACAATTTATATTCATATATTGATAGTTTGTAAAATATTATTTTCTGTCAAGAAGCAAATGATCCAATGGGTTGACCCGAATAACCCATAATCCGACCTGACCGAACCCGTATTAACCTGCAACCCAATAAACCCGTAATTTGATGCACTCGTAACCCGACCCGATCCATAACCCAATTGACCAGTGACCTGATTGACTCGTAACCCAATTGACCCGCAATCCAATTGAAACCGACCTGATTGAACTCGCAACCCGATTGAACCCATCCCGATTAGACCCAATTCAAACCCGACCCAACCCCCAATTGACACCTCTAGTTATTTTGGCCCAACCACTGATCAATGTAAAACTCGGTGGTACCTTTCATGCTCGCTATTTGATTATTTGACAAGGAGGTAATTCGATTGAACTTGGGTGCCGTAGCTGACAGGTAGCGTTGTTTGTTGACCCATGCAATGGTTGGCTGGCTAATAGCTAGCTATATGCCCCTCTTCGCAGGGAACTAAAGGTCCAAAATTGGCTGGTAGATAAAGTTTAGATTATTGCTGAAGTTAAGCTTTAGCATGATGATGACTTTCATTTAATTTGCAGACACTATGGATTATATGGTCATAATACGAAGATTCAGACATTAAACTTATAAGTTGGCTTTCGTTTGAGAGGGTGTGTAAAGAGTGATATAAAATTTATAATTAACCTTCTCTCAACAATTGAATTATTGCAATAAAATGATTCATGCATGACATGAAACGATATAAGATTCATAATTGACTTGAAATTAAAGTCATTTTTAAATTTTCACCCGAGAAATCTCTTATCTTAAAGTTGACAACCCCAACTAACAACTGATTTAAGTTGAAGAATGATAGATTTGTATAATTCAAGCACCCATTATTTGTGTGGTACTATATATGTTCTTCGGACATCAGTTTACATGTAAGAGAAGTGCAGGGCACAAGTTTTATGGGATTTTATTGACGATTGAAACTTCTATCTCTCCTGCCCTAACGCATTTAGCCTTCTTTGATCGGTTGCCTCTTGTCCATGGACGTATTCACCAACAGGCACATGCCATTTATGTCCTACCGACACAGCCAACAGCAACAAGGTTCCGTCGAGACACAAACAGCTAGCTAGGGACTAGAGTGACCCAGCAGCAGAGCAAAGACAGATGAAGAGCTTGCTAGCTAGCTGTAGCCAGCCAGTTTCCAAATGATAGAGCAGATGTTGCATGTGAACCAGGACACCCCGTGATACAATGTATATAAACGACGTTGATGGCTAGGTTGATGAGTCAGAGTCCGATCAGAAAGGTCATGAATTGATCAGACCTACCGATGCATGAACCGACAAATGGAACCTTTAAGAAAATTAAAGGACCTTTGTAGGGATGACAACGAGAGGGATTGAATCGAGTTTTTCTAAACCAAAACCAACTCAATGAGTGTACCCACAAAAATATATGGTAATATAATAACTGAGCTTTAGAAGAGAAAATTCAACTCAACTTCGACTGGTATCAAGGGGTTCATGAATCATGAGTATTCATGGGTTTACCAACATAACTACACACTATTGTTTCAAATATCCACGTTGTAATGTTATCAAAAATATTCCCGTCAAGACTAATAACTTCTACAGATTATTCATATTGTTAGGAATCATAAATCATCCACACTATTAAGGTTAGACACAAAATGACATCATTATACTTTATGTGCGGGTTAATTGCAAGTTTGGTCACTGAGTTTACGAAAAAGGTTTATGTTTGGTCACTAAAAATATTTAATTCCATTCGTGGTCACTAAGATTAGTTCAATAGTTCAAGTTTGGTCACTCTCCATTAGCTTCCGTTAAATTTAGCTGACGTGACAGTCAACTCTGACAATTGACCGTTAAATAAGTGATGTGGCAATTCAAAAATAAAAATTATAAAAAATTTAACCTTTTATAGCTCGTGGTTCATGAGATGGCAGAGCTCGATTGGATTTCTCCGGTCAAGTCGTTGTAATCGACTTGCAACATGGTGAGATGCGAACAGGCGGAGAGGTTTGCAAGGATCGTGTCGGAGTTGGAGTTTGGGACCACGGCTCCCGGAGGCGGCCGAGCTCAGGCGGTATCTCATCGGTGTTGTTGTGTGGGTTCCTGGAGATGAGCTCTGGCAAGCCAATTTATTGGTACGTAATTTGAGCTTGGGTCCGAACGTGCTGATATGTGAGAGAAAGTGATTGATCAATGGGGAAAATTAGCAGCTTGCATTGCCTTCTGATGTGCTCATTCCTTTTCGGTCCTTTACTTGCTTCACCATGTTCTTAATCTAATGAAGTATAGTCACTATCAATTTGTCAAAATCATCGAATTCCAGCTCTAGGGAAAGAAGGGGAAATCATTGCCACCCACCCCATCATCGTCGTAGGACTATCTTTCTCCAGCTCCGTCGAAGAAGAAGATCGACAACCCTTGCCGATTTCGATGAACCCCTCCAGCGCGCCCGCAACGAAGGGCCTTTCCCTCTCAAGATTTAATTCTCTCCCTCCAGCAACCCATATTTGCCCTCGTCCAAGAGCTTCTTGATGATGGCGGCATCGGCGGCGCGGTACCGGTTGTGGCGCACGGTTCAGATTGGGGTGATGAACTCGGAGAGGCGAGAGTAGAGGTAGACGACGGCAGGGATGAGGTGCTAGGGATTTCTCGACGGATTCAACGATTTCAGCCGCAAGGGAGTAGGAAAGGAAGGGGAAGGAAGATGACATTGATGGTGGGGATTTCCAGAATGTCCTGTGGGAAGGAAGTCCAATGATGTAAGCGGCAGCGCCGGTGGAGAGTGTCTCGGCGATGAAGGATAGAGTAAGTGTATTGGGGATTAGAAGAAATTAGATTTTTTATTTATTTTTAATAAAAGTGATAATGAGGTGGAAAATTTAAAAGATTAATTTTTTTATTTTTTAACTGCCACATCATATATTTAACGGTCAACTATAAGAGTTGACCGCCACATAAGCAAAAGTTAACGGAGTTGGACGGAAAGTGACCAAACTTGAAGTATTTAACTAATTTTAGTAACCACGAATGGATTTAAATATTTTTAGTGACCAAACATGAACGTTTTTAGTAATCTCAATGACCAACCTTGCAATTTACCCCTTCATGTGCTAACCAGGTGAAAAAGAAGGTTGCGTTTGACAAATCCAACCCAACCCACCAATTTTAACATGTAAAATTCAAAACTCTGACCCAAAATCCAATAACATTGAATTTTTCACGCTGTAACCGTTTGGGTCGAGTACCTGTGAATTCAATTGTCATTACTAAGCGGGTGAAGAACACACAGAAAGAAAATAAAACATAGAAGAAAATGAAGTCTGTTATTGAGCCCATAAAAGAAATGGTAAAGCTCGTATAAAGCCCACCACTAGCGAGGCCCGCAAGTGAAAAGCCCTACCAACTTAAATTCATCTTTCCACAAAGATGATGAACTCGCTCTCCCTCCGAAATGGGTTAATATTGTTGACGTTGGTATATGTATTTAGTAATTAACCCATTCATTAAGGTTAATTACTAATATGGTCCTTTGTATTAGGGTTTGATCTCGGCTGGTATAAATATAGAGAATGTTCGAGTTGTATGTAAGTGATTTTGGTGGTTCATAACCTAATAAGACTGACTCGAGAGACTCCCTCTCCGTGGACTAGTTTCGACTATTCTAGCGAAGGAAACCACGTAAATTGTGTATGTCTTCAAGTTTTCTTTCAGTTTCCGTATAGTTTGACATGATATCAAAGCCTTCACATGATTTCTTGGGTTAATGGTGGTTTTGTGTGAGAGCTGCACGTTCGGCGGATTGGCGCAGCGTTTGGGTTTTGGATTGGTTGTTGCCTTGTTGGCGGTTGTCTTGTGGTGCTAGTACAGCTGCTTTCGGTTGGTATATTCAAGCTTGTTTTGGTTGGTAACAGCTCCCTTTGGTTGGTTATTTGTGGTTTCGGGTGTGCTTCTCTTTGGTGTACTCTTGTTTTGGCTATTATAATTTGTGTTGCACCTTCGTTCCGTGTTTCTCATGAGCTCCATGGATAACAAGGTTGATGGGTTTTTTGTGCGCTTGACGGGACATGATTTTTCTTTATGGGAATTCCAATTTCGTATCTATGTTCAAGGTCAGCGGATGAGTGGCATATTGGATGATTCTGTGCCGCAGCTAGCTGATACTGCTGTGGGAAGGAGAAGGCAGACTGGGAGGCTAGTAATGTTCATGTAATTTTCTGGATCTTGTCGTCGGTTGATCCCGGAATTGCCTTGAGTCTTCGAGGGCTTTCTACAACCCATAGTATGTGGACGCATCTGAATAGGATTTATTCTCAAACTAATGCTTCTCCGAAGTTTGAGCTAGACACCGCCATTGCTCGTCTATAACAAGGAGACAAAGATATCAAGGCTTATTATAAGGTGGCGGTACATCTGTGGACGGAACACGATCTGCTGCTGTCATCCTCGACTCCGACTTCTGACTCGGGTGCGATGCTGAAAGAAAAGGAGGGTACTCGCTGTGAAAGGAATAGGGTGATCTTCAGCTACTGCAAACATGGAGAAAGCAGCTGAGCGTAAGAAGACTGGCTAAAGCTTCCTTTCACTTTAGCCAGAGTACAGCGAAGAAGACACTGGGAGCGACGACGTTTTGTACTAAGTGATGGAGCCTCACAAGACCGAACGTCGTCGCATTGGATGCCTTGTAATTAGAATAAACTTCAGTCGTAGTTAGACAGTTGGCAGTCGTTGATAGGTTAGTTCAATTGATTAGTTTGTTTACCGTTAATGTACAGTGTAATTGTCTTCTTTGCTATATATATGAAAAACCCACACAAAGGAAAGTCATCTTGCCATTTCCCACAATCCAGGCTGTTCATTCTCTCTACAAACCCTAGCAACACTTGAGCTAGGTTAAATCTTTCTCGTGGTATCAGAGCCTGGTTGGCTCCTGATTACCTTTCCGTTCTGAAATCTCTATTTCTTCTTCTTACATTTCTTCTCTCTCAACTCTTGTTGTCTAGCAAACTTTCAAAGCTACAATGTCTGGTAAGGGCATTGAAGACAGTGGTGGTAGTGGTACTACTGAGAAGGAGATCTCATCACCTAGGTATGAAGATCCTTACAGCAACCCCTTCTATTTAGCACACAATGAAAACTCTTTTCTTCCTGTCATCGGATTCAAGCTGAATGACGACAACTATCTCCTCTGGAGCGAGTCTATGGAGGTGGCGCTGAGAACCAAAAACAAACTAGGGTTTGTTCATGGTATGATTCAGGTACCAGATGCTTCTGATCCTTCTTTTGGAACCTGGGATAGGGTTAATGGAACTGTTGTTTGCTGGATTCGTAACTCTCTCTCAGATGATATAGTGCCTAGTCTTAGAAATATCAATATGGCATCTGAGGCTTGGAAATTCCTCAAATCCAAGTTTAGTCAAGGCGATTCTGTGAGGATTGCCAATTTACAGGAGAAGGTGGATCTGGTTAAGCAAGGAAACCAGACAATCGGGCAGTACTATACTGATTTGAAGCTGTTATGGGATGAAAGTGATAGCTATTTACCCATACCTTTATGTGATTGTGCCTCTCGGACATATGGGACTGTCATAATGTATCGAGAACGAGCCAAAGTGATTCGATTCTTGCTGGGTCTGAATGAAAAATACCAGCATGTCAAAACCCAGATGCTGATGCTTGATCCTTTACCAGATCTAGATAGTGTGTATAGATCTGTTACTCAACTTGAAAGGCAGTTAAAGGGGTCAAGTAGTAATACTGAAAAATCAGAGGAGACCATTGCTCTTGCAACTGCCCTTGCTGCATCAAAATCTCAGTATGGTCAGTCTATAGATAGAGGAACAAGGGATGTTCAGCAAGAAGGGGCAGGAGGTCTGTTCTGCAGGTACTGCAAGAAGGACAATCATGTTATACAAGATTGTTGGAAGCTTAAGAAGAAGAACAAGGAAGGAGGAGGCAGAGAATTTGCTGGTTCAGTTGATGTAACTGCTGGAGCTGCTGAGAAACACAACCATGGAACTAATGGAGGTTCTTCCTATGGTGGAAACAGTCCAAAAAATACTCCTGAGAGTCTAAGCAAGTTTAGTGGCTTCACTAATGAAGAGTTAATGCGTCTCAAAGCATTACTTCAGAATCCTCAGCAGCCTCCATCACCCTCTTCCATGGCTAATTCTATTATAGCTAAAGGGGCTTCAACATCAGGTACAACAGTACTTTCAACCTCAATTACTGATGGTAACAATGATGTTTGGGTGCTTGACACTGGTGCAAGTGATCATATAGTGTGTTCCATGAAATTTTTCTTGAGATGTGGACAAGCTAAGGATATGTCAGTTACTTTACCAAATGGGCAGAAAGCCATAGTAACACACATAGGCATAGTAAAACTGCCTTGTGGCCTTTTCCTTACCAATGTCCTCCTTGTCCCATCTTTTAGTTACAACTTGATTTCTATCAGTAAGCTCACCAAACACAGTCCAGTTTCACTCACATTTGAATCCAATCTTTGTTGCATTCAGGACCTAATCTCTCAACAGAGGATTGGTTTAATCCACGTAGATAAGGGGCTGTACCTACTGGGAGAGAACACACCACCTGGAGAGAGTTCAAGACCACACGTTTTTGGAGTGACAACCAGACAGAATTCAGACCTATGGCATACCAGACTAGGCCATCTTTCCTTACCAAGATTGCAGGAGATTCAGAGACAATGTAGTAAAGTAGTAGTACCTACCTTTAGTGACTATGAGGTTTGCCATATGGCTAAACAAAAACGTTTACCTTTTGATAGGAGTACAACAATGGCTGCTGCCATATTTGATAAAGTACATGTAGACATCTGGGGGCCAGTTGATGTTATGTCCCATGATGGTTTTAAGTATTTTCTGACGGTTGTGGATGATTTCAGTAGAAGTACTTGGTTGTTTTTGATGAAAAACAAATATGAAGCTCGTGATCTAGTGCAATCATTTTATGCTATGGTGGTTACCCAATTTGGCAAAAAGATTAAAGTAATCAGATCTTATCAGGGGCAAGAATTTAACATGCCTGCGTTTTATCAAGAACATGGAATTCTCCATGAAATGAGCTGTGTGAAAACTGCACAGCAGAATGGCAGGGTAGAGAGGAAACACCAACACTTGCTCAATGTGGCCAGAGCATTAAAATTTCAGTCAGGGGTTCCTACAAGTTTCTGGAGTCATTTGGTGTTGCATGCTGCATATTTAATTAACAGGATTCCTACACCTGTTTTAAACAACAAAACCCCCTTTGAATGCTTGTATGGTATACCTCCTGATTATAGCTCTTTAATGGTGTTTGGCTGTTTGGCTTATGCCACAGTCCTGGATGAACACAAGAGAAAATTTGCAGAAAGGGCAAGAAAAGCAGTTTTTATTAGTTACCCTTATGGCATAAAAGGGTTTAAGCTGTATGATCTGGAGCAGGACACTGTTTTTATTAGCAGAGATGTCCAGTTTGTAGAAAGCATTTATCCATTGATGGCGGGGGGGGGGGGGGGGGGGGGGATAATACATTGCATACAAAAGATAATGTTCCCTCTCAAACTCAAAATCAGGACTTTCCCATTAATGATTTCAATACCCCCAATTCTATTCTTCCTTCAGATCATAATGTTCATGAAACTAATGATCAGGACTACTCTCCTCATGATTTTGATTCTGATGATGAGTCAGTCTCTCCTTCCTCATCTTTTCACCCTTCTCCAAACACACCTTCTCCAAACACACCTTCTACTTCTGATCCACTTTCCTCTCCCGTTCCCACTTCTGATGCACTTCCCATTGCTATAAGAAAACCTACCAGAACATTTAAACAGCCTGCATACTTGCAGGACTTTCATACAAGTTTCTTTTCAAAGGGAACTCCAGGAGAACATGATTCTAAACTTCTATATCCCCTTTCAGACCACCTGGATTACTCTTCTTTGTCCCCCAACCATAAACACTTTACTCTTTCCATATCTCTTTCACCTGATCCACAGACATACTCGCAAGCCATAATGGAAAAATGCTGGAATGATGCAATCAATAAGGAGATTGATGCTTTAGAAGAGAACAGGACTTGGGACATAGTTGATTTACCTCCAGGTGAGAAGGTTGTTGGGAATAAGTGGGTGTTTAAGACCAAATTCTTGACAGATGGATCAATTGAAAGGCGTAGAGCCAGATTGGTAGCTAAGGGTTATACACAGACCTATGGTGTTGATTTTATTCATACATTCTCTCCAGTTGTCAAGCTGAACTAAGTTAAGTTGTTGTTGGGAGTAGCAGCAGTTAAAGGCTGGCATCTCCATCAAATGGATGTCAGTAATGCATTTTTACATGGAGATTTGGATGAGGATGTGTATATGGAACTACCAGATGGATTGAAAGGAAAAGAAGGGATGAAGGGAAACCTTCTGCAAGTTAAGGAAGTCCCTATATGGGTTAAAGCAAGCAAGCAGACAATGGTTTATTAAGTTGTCTGAGTATCTAAAAGGTCCGGGATTGGAGCAATCATATGAGGATTATTATGTTTTCAGGACTCCCTCTGTGATATTAATTGTGTATGTTGATGACATACTTCTAGCAGGCCCTGATCTAGATGAAATTCAGAAAGTTAAATTGCAGTTGAAGACAGGTTTCAAGATCAAAGATATGGGAAACATGAGATATTTCCTTGGACTGGAGGTGGCCAGGTCTAGTGAAGGGATTTCAGTCAATCAAAGGAAGTTTTGTTTGGAGTTACTTGCTAATGCAGACTTCCTTGAAAGTAAACCTGCCAAGACCCCCATAAGCATGAAGACAGTGCTCTCAGCAACTAATGGAACACCATTATCAGATGGTTCACATTACAGACATCTGCTAGGTCAGTTACAATATTTGACAACAACAAGACCTGATATTACTTTTCCTGTACAGCAGCTCTGTTAGTTTCAAGGTAATCCTACTAGTGTTCATCTAAAGTGCTTACAAAGGATTTTGAGGTATTTAAAAGGGTGTCCCAGTCAGGGTCTTTGGTTCTCAGCAAAGACTAACTTATCACTTAAAGGGTATTGTGACTCTGACTGGGCAACATGTCCAGACACAAGGAAATCTATCACTGGTTATTGCACATTTCTTGGAGACTGTCTTATCAGTTGGAAGAGTAAGAAGCAGAACACTGTTTCAAGATCATCCTCAGAGGCTGAGTATAGAGCCTTAGCACAGCTCTCTTGTGAGATTCAATGGTTACATTCACTACTCAAATTCTACAGAGTACCTCATCAGCAAAGTGTTTAGGTATTTTGTGATAATTAATCTCCAATATACATTGCACAAAATCCAGTCTTTCACGAAAGAACGAAACATATAGAAGTGGACTGCCATGTAATTCGTGAGAGATTGCAATCTGGACTCATCACTTTGGATCATATTGGGACAGAAGATCAGTTAGCAGACCTGTTCACAAAATGGTTATCTGCTGAACGTTTTGATTACTTATTGTGCAAGCTTGGCGTGCATAGTGCCTCACAAGACCGAACGTCGTCGCATTGGAAGCCTTGTAATTAGAATAAACTTCAGTCGTAGTTAGAAAGTTGGCAGTCGTTGATAGGTTAGTTCAATTGATTAGTTTGTTTACCGTTAATGTACAGTGTAATTGTCTTCTTTGCTATATATATATGAAAAACCCCACACAGAGGAAAGGCATCTTGCCATTTCCCACAATCCAGGCTGTTCACTCTCTACAAACCCTAGCAACACTTGAGCTAGGTTAAATCTTTCTCACTCGCCTCATGTCCTTTTTGATGAAGTTGCGACCAGAATATGAGAGTATAAGGGCTTCCTTGCTTCACCGCAACATCTCCTCTATGGAAGAGACCATTGGGAAACTTTTTCGTAAAGAAACTAGGTCGAGGAGTCAAGCTCAGCTGGATGTTCACTCGTCCGATCCTGGTAATGCTTTTGCTATTCAAGGGAATCGACCTTAATTAGTTTCAGCGCACACCTAATGGAGTAGTCATATGTCATTTCTGCAACGAGCCCGGTCATATCCAGCTTCACTGCAAGAGGAAGAATGCTTGTAACTATTGCAAGGAATCTGGTCATTTGATTGCTGATTGTCCGATTTTATCTCGTCGTGGTCACAATCTTGGTTCAAGAGGACGATCGAGTGGTGCTCGCTCTAACACTGATCCCTTCTCAATGCTAGCTTTTGCTACTGAACAGGTGGCGCCTTCACCGACTCCTTTCATGTCCCCGGCCGAAATTCGTCAATTTGTTCAAGATGCTATTAAGGATGTTCTTCCTATCGCATTAACCTCGGTATTCTCTACGGGTATGCATTCTGGTTCCTCCTCTTTTTGGCATATTGATTATGTAGCTTTTAATCATATGACAAGCTCACGTCAGTTATTTCAAGATATTTGTCCGAGTCCTAGTGTAGCATTACAGGTGGCGGATGGCTCACGCCTTTCTCGTAATGGGATTGGGACGGTGTGTGATAAGGGGCTGCTTCTCAAGGACACTCTCTATGTTCCCGAATTGGTTCCTAATCTTATTTATGTGGGACAACTGCCCGATAATGGATGTCGTATTACATTTGATGCCTCCGGTTGTGTTGTGCAGGACACGACAACGGGGAAGGCGATAGGAAGAGGGACTAAATGGGGCCGGGTGTTTGAGCTCACTACCTTCTCACGTGGCATTGAAGGGGGCAGAGCTCGTGTGCATGGGGTGCATGGCGGCGTGGTGAACAAGGGAGGTGGTCATTTGGCGGCTGCTGTCATGGACCAAGATGTTACATGTAGAGGTGGCAATTATGATCCAAATCCATGAATCCAACTCAATCCATCCACCAAATTATCCACTTAATCCAATCCATTTAAATCCAATCCATTTGATCCAGATCCAATTGGATTGGTGGATTCATGGATGAATCCATAGATCCGAATGGCAAATTATGATTTGGTACCTATATTTTGTTATATTTTACATTTTAGTACCTAAAATTTATATTTTTATACGAAAAATATCGTTGGAAAATTACATTTTGGTACCTAAAAATTTTCATAATGACATTTTAGTACCAAAACTTTTCAAATTTTACATTTTGGTCCAAGCTTTGGATGTCATTTGGATTCATGGATCAATCCACCAATCCATTTGATCCAATCCATTAATCCACTAATCCATTGGATTGTTCTCTTAGTCTTCGTACAACTCCCACTTCCATGACTTGTACTTCTACTTCTCATGGTTTGACTTATTCTGTTGGTTTATCGGATTGGGAACTTTGGCATCGATGTTTAGGCCACCCACACTCTTCTCGACTTTCGGATATGTTTAAGAATAAATGGCTCTCTAGTCATATTTTTCCGGATCTCGGTCTTTGTGAATAGTGTATACAGGCAAAGATTGCTCAACACTCATTTTTTGCTAGTACTACTGAGTATTGCGATCCGTTTGATCTAGTTCACATGGATCTCTGGGGTCCGTCTTCGATCACATCTCGTTTGGGGTTCCGGTATTTCGCTCTCTTTATCCATCATGTCACGCGGTACACTTGGGTCTATTTTTTTTACGCAAGAAGTCTGGTCTTTTGTCTGCTGCCCGGGAATTTCTTTAGATGATTCGCACTCAATTTGGTAAGCAGGTTAAGATTATTCTTTCTGACCCCAGAGGTGAGTTTACCTTGAACCCATTACAAGAGCTTTTCCGGGAACAGGGTACTCTCGCGTAGCAATCATGTCTCGGTGTTTCGCAACAAAATGGTCTGGTGGAATGCAAACATAGGCATGTTCTGGAATTAGTTCATGCTATTCTGTTCCACTCACAGATTCCTTCTCGATTATGGGTCGAAATTGTTCACACAGTGGTTTATTTGGTCAATTGTCAGATAATGCCGATCTTTAAATTAAGCAGTCCATAGCAGGCCTTATATTTGAAGCTTCCTAACTACAAGTGGCTTCGGGTGTTTGGCTGTGTTTGCTAGGTCCTTCTTCCAGTGCGGGAACGTACCAAGCTCACTTCTAAAGCCGCCAAGTGTGTATTAGTGGGGTACAACGAGAAACATAAAGGCTATGTGTGTTACAATATTGCGCATCTGCGGATTCGTATTTCGTGTCATGTGGTGTTTTTGGAGCATTTATTCCATTATGGGTCCTCACTGAGACGAGATGATCATGATTTGGATTTTCTTCTTACCTTGCCGTCTTTCCCAGAAGAAGCTCCGACTCAAGGTATCGACGCTGGGGATGACTTCGAGGATGGGCCGCATTCCCCTCCCTCATGATCGTTCACGTCTAGTTCTGAAGCTTACAACTCTTCTGCGTCTTCCCACTCCTCCTTTACTTTGAGTTCTACTAGGTCATCCTCTTCGCACTCGTGCCATAAAGGGGCAGCCTCCGGCTCGGCATGCGGATTTCTTGGCTTATTCTGCCCAGTCAGTTTTTGTTCGGGCCACTCACAAACAAGCTAAAGGACTCAACCAATGGGAAAGAGCCATGGATGACGAGAAGGACGCACTCGAGCATTGGACCGTCTCCCTGAGTATTCTGTTATTGGGAACAAGTGGGTCTATACCCTTAAACTTTTGGCCGACGGTTCCATTGAACGCCATAGGGCGCTTGGTGGCACAGGGATTCAAACATGCATTCGACATAGATTATGACGAGACTTTCGCTCCTGTGGCAAAGATGCATACTGTTTGGAGCTTGCTTGCGGTTGCTTCCTTAAAAGGTTGGCCGTTACTGCAGTTGGATGTTAAAAATGCCTTTCTGCATGGCGTGTTGGAAGAAACCATCTACATGGAGCGTCCACAAGGTTATACGAAGGGCGATCCTTCTCAGGTATGCCGTCTTCGTTGCTCTTTATATGGTCTCAAACAGGCACCTCGTGCCTAGTTGGAGAAGTTTCAGTCTACGGTTATTCAGGCAGGTTTGGTCCAGAGTGAGAATGATTCCTCCTTATTTCTTCGGCGCATTGAACGGGGTCTTACCGTTCTTCTCATTTACTTGGTCTTGAAGTTGAACAACGTCCAGAGGGCTTGCTGGTGGGCAAACAGAAGTATATTATTGATCTATTGAACAACGTCCAGAGGGCTTGCTGGTGGGCCAACAGAAGTATATTATTCCTCCTTATTTCTGCGGCGCATTGAACGGGGTCTTACCATTCTTCCCTGTTCCACTCCTAAAGAGTAGAATCTCCGCCTTCTACAATATGATGGGGAGTTTCTTCCTAATGGCTCTCACTATCGCAGTATTGTGGGCAACCTGTTATATTAAGTTTACACCAGACCTGATATCTCTTATGCAGTTCAGGTGGTGAACCAATTCATGACGGCCCCGCACACCCATCACCTCACTGCTGTTCACCATATTCTGTGGTATCTTAAGGGGACTCATGACGTTGGTCTTTTCTTTCCCTCAGTCGACTCTCTTACTATTGAAGCGTATGCTGACGCTGATTATGATGGTTGTCTTGACACTCGTCGTTTCACATAAGGTTGGTGCATTAAGTTCGGTTCTTCTTTTGTTTCATGGCGCTGCAAGAAGCAAGAGAGGGTTGCGAAGTCCTCCACAGAGGCCGAGTATCGTTCCATGTCCGAAGTCGCCTCCGAGTTTGTATGGCTGCGCAGGCTGCTGGCCGATTTTGGTGTTGAATGTAAGGTGTCGATGCGTCTCTTTGCCAATAATACTAGTGTCATACGGATAGCGACGAATATGGTACTTCATGACAGCACCAAACACATTGAAGTTCATGTCCACTATATTCGGCAGTTGGTAGCAAAAGGTCTCATTACACTCTCCTACATCACATCGGAAGATCAGACAAAGGATTTACTAACCAAAGCTGTCTCCAAGGCTCGACATTGGTATCTGGCTCACAAATTGATGTTGCGACAACACCATCAATTTGAGGGAGGGTGTTGATGTTGGTATATGTATTTAGTAATTAACCCATTCATCAGGACTTTTTCCAGAAATACCACTGTTTAAAAAAAGAATTCCAAAAATACCACCTAACCCCAAAAAATTCCAAAAATACCACCATTATTCAAAAACCGCCACCCCACCCTGCGGCTTACATGAAAACCGCTGGGCGGGGGTGCGGTTTTCTATGCAAACCGCTGGGCTAAGGGGAGGTTATAAAAACCTATAAAAACTGGGTGGGGCGGCAGTTTTGGGCCAAACCGCCACCCCACCCAGCGGTTTGGTCCTTTTTTTTTATCAACTCCTAACTTCGGCCGAAACTTCAAACGAACGTAACTTTGCACTCGTTATCTGATCATAGCGATTTCTTTTTTGAATCCTAATAACATTTCGAGATCTACAACTTTTACTAGGATGAAAATTTCAAAACAGGAATTAGTTGTGGATATACGGGACCTTGGGAATAACTTTACCTTTACTTTTCACAAATCCCTGTACATTTTGAAATTATGATTATCTTAAAATTTGTAGATCTTGAAAAGTTATGCGGAATAAAAAAAATTCATGACGTTCGGATTTTGGAGCACAAAGTTAAGGCCGCCCAAAGTTTGACGAAATAAAAAAAAGGCTCGTTCGGGGTAGCAAATGACCTTTTTTTCGAGACGAAGGCGGGACCAAACCACCTATGCCTGTTTGCGGCTTGCAAGATCTCGAAAAGTTATGCGAAATGAAAAAAAATTGCTACGATCGGATACCCGAGTGCAAAGTTACGTTCGTTTGAAGTTTCGGCCGAAGTTAGGAGTTTATTGAAAAAAATTGGACCAAACCGCTGGGTGGGGTGGCGGTTTGGCCCAAAACCGCCGCCCCACCCAACGATTTTTATAGGTTTTTATAACCGCTCCTTAGCCCAACGATTTGCATAGAAAACCGCGCTCCCGCCCAACGATTTTCGTGTAAACCGCAGGGTGGGGTGGCGCTTTTTGAAAAATGTGGTATTTTTGGAATTTTTTGAGGTTGGGTGGATTTTTTCCCATTCATCAAGGTTAATTACTAATATGGTCCTAATTTGTATTAGGGCTTGGTCTCGGCTGGTATAAATATAGAGAGAATGACCGAGTTGCATGTAAGTGATTTTGGTGGCTGATAACCTAATAAGACTGACTCGAGAGACTTCCTCTCCGTGGATTAGTCTCGGCTATTCTAACTGAGGAAACCACGTAAATCGTGTGTGTTCAAGTTTTCTTTCAGTTTGCGTATAGTTTGACAGATATCTCTACTATATTTTCTGTTAAAATTGCCCTCCCTTATCCATATGCATTTTGTCCCTCAGAAAAATTACGGTAAATTTTTATCGTTTTGGATACCCATCTGAATTATGTTATGTTGTCGGGATGAATCGACCTGAAAAGTTGACAGAAGGACTAATTCATTTGGTTTTTGAAATTTACCATACTTCTGTTTTCCTTTTGAATATAAATTACCGTGGTTTATTGGACAAAGGATATTTTCCAAACAAATATTTCTTCTATTGTTTCCCTGTGAGAAACTTGCGTTGAAAATAAATTGATTGCACTTTTGACTTCTTTGGACAACGATCACTAAACACGGTTCACACCTCTTCAAACACAGTTCGAACGAGGGTGTTCGATGTTTACACGACTCTCGAGACAGATCTACATTAAGTTACTCCTACTCCTATGGAGGTTCTGAGAGAGCTCCAGATCTACGACTATTGATAAAAATTTGTAGAGGAAAGATAAGATTGATAAAACTTGACAAGTGGTGTCGAGTGGTAATTTTTGCGGGGTTCTCCTCTGTCGACTCCCCCTCCTATTTATAGGCCTTGAGATGATAACCGCCGTAGAAACTGTCATAGAGTAACTTCCAAAAAGAACTGCTCCCTGCTTCCTCGGAACGTGGCTGACGTGTCCTTTGAACGTGGGATGAGTAGCCGTTACTTCTCAACTGCCCAAGTACCTCTCTTGAAACCGTCGTAGGATCTTGTAGTTTGCCTCATATATCACGGTCATGGACTTCTTTACTCATGTCCATGGCCCTCTTGGGACTTAGTCTCTAGTGATATAATATTTCATCCCCATGTCATTCTCCTTCGTGTCCATGGCTCCTCTCGTGAGGCGGCAATGACGCCTCAGAATTATCATATGGCATGGCCTCTTGTTTGCACCCATGGACCTCTCAATCATGAACATGGCCTCCCTCATGAAGCAGCAAGTCCTTCCCTATACTTAGAATATTTTCGGTTATTTGATTTAGATCATGAGGCGGCATTGCCTCTTTATTCGCGACCATGGACTTCTTATTCATGTCTGTGGCCCCTTCCATTGGACGGCATTGGCCTCCTCATACTTAGTATTTTTCACGCGCCCAGGTCCTCTTGTCTCGTGTCCATGGCCGTCACATATGACACGGCCATGGACCTCTTAATCATCCACATGGCCCTATATTCTCATACTTAGAATATTTTTTTGTCATACCGGGCCTTCCTTGAGATAGCATGTGCTTCTTTATTCTAGATGGACGCGTTCTTCTTTGATGAGGCGGCATGGCCTCTTCCGGACTTAGTTAAATTTTCACTCCTTCGGTCTTATTGGTGAGGCGGCATGGCCTCTTTAGACTTAGTGGCTTGGGCTTAAAATCAATATCCATAAGGCCCAACTGAAACAACATTAATTGTTATAATGAGGGTGGCCTTATAACCTCATTAATTATCTTGTAACTCACCAATGTGGTACAAGACAACTTTTATGGTGTAAACATCTATGATTATAAGCTAACATGATATACTGGAATATGCGTGTGGAAATTAAATATGACGCCACCAACCAAAGCAAATTAGGTGAGCCGAGCATGGAGGGAGGGAAGGAAGGTGAGTGGAAAGCATGCATCAGTCTGCCGTGCCCTCTACGGCGGCGGAAAAATCATCGGACAGCGCCCACCTCTGGATCTCATCAATCGCACGAAAATAATATATATTGCTCGGGCCACGACAGGATTCGGACGGCTCGACGGCCGTACCAAAAAAGCAACCCGTCGACGTTCTAGCTAGCCTCCATCGTTTCACCGGTGGCCCTTCAAAGTTTCACCTCCACACAATTTTGTCTTCTAGATCCAAAGTTCGAGAGGCTCCACAAAGTTTGACGAGCTGCAGATGGCGATCTTATACTATTACCACATAGCTCCAACTCGCATTTAAAACTGCACGCCACAATGGTCCAGCGATCTACTTTTACTTTTATTCCTTCACGTTGCTTATAATCTTGTTCCCAGCCAGCTGCCATCTTTGTCCCATTTCGAGTTTCAACCATTCGATTTGGTGTCAGCTAGCTCTAAATGCTATATATAAGTACTGTTAGACTTATAAGTAGAGCTTGATTAAACCACCTGTGGTTCTCATTCTTCCAAGAAAACTTTGGATTCCAATTGAAGTACGCAAAACCAGGATCGGAGAATCGATTAGAACTATTCCGTGGAGAAGCAGCTTATTATTGCATTTCACCGGAATTAATATTATATAATATAGAGGGAGGGAGGTAGCAAGCAAGAAGTACTGTTAACCTGACTGATTGAGTGTCACTTTCGATTTGTAGACAGCTATTTCTTTTCTACCCTCTTCAGGAGGGATCGGAGCACCGACCCGAAAGCTAGCATAGAAGAAGATAGTAGAAGCCTTTTGGCATTGATGTCACTTTATTATTGTGACTACGTACACAACGTGGTGATCAGTATCAAGGAGGAGTAGACGTTAGACTTGACCAGTTGATGTTATGAAAGATTGATTACGTAGAGAAAGATTTGTTGTCTCTCTAAAGCCGTCACTCACATCTAATTTACCCAATTCGATGTTTATTCACCCGACAATAGTGGTTATCAAATATCAACTATGGTTATTATATGATTTTGGGCTCGTTGGTTTGGATTCTCCAAATTGATGCATTTAATCAATTTGTGTATTGTAATTTGATGGATTGATTATATCTATAAATTTTGAAAATATCTTATTTGAAGGTTTAAATTTTGTTTTTTTTTTGTTATAAAGACAAATTGAGTAGACGATTTTTTGTTAACAATCTCACATTTTGGTAGAAATTAAATTGAACTCATAAAAAAGTTAGGACTTTGCTACGGTGACATGCATGTCACGGTGACATGCACTTTTCGGTCGACCTCATATAGGATCAGGTCGACCTAATCAGTTGTTTCAGTGTAAAAACAGTTTCATGGTGCCTACTTTGGAGATTCATATCTTACAATTGGCTAGATGGAAATTGGAGATTAAAGGCTTGTTTTGAAGCTGAAGTGTCCATCTACACATTAAAGTACTTGGGAGCTCAATAGAAAGTCCAGAAGACCTTTTTTGAATCTGACCAAAAGGCTATGCCAAAATTGGAAAACTGCCTGAAAATGGCCAAGTCTGGCAACGTGTTTGTCAAGCCTACTTTGGAGCTCAATTTGAGAATCATGGATGCGAGTCAAGTCCAGGAGCCTCTACCACGTTAAATTACGTATTTTTTTATACAAAGTCAAGGCATTGGATGAAATATTCAATATCTTTAAGGCTTCAAACAAAAGGCTCGAAGTTGCTACGAAGGCTGTTTTTCTGGCAGCTTGCTTGTGCTCCAAGTCTGCCAGAAAAACAGCCTTCGTAGCAACTTCAACCCTTTTGTTTGAAGCCTTAAAGATATCCAATCTTTCATCCAATTCCTTGAATTTGTATAAAAACATACCTAATTTAACGTGGTAGAGACTCCTGGACTCGACTCGCATTCATGCTTCTCGAATTGAGCTCAAAAATAGACTTCACAAACACGTTTCCAGACTTAGCCATTTCTAGGCAGTTTCCCAGTTTTGGCATAGCCTTTTGATGAGGTTCAAAAATGGTCTTCTGGACTTCTTATTGAGATATCAATCACTTCAATATGTAGAGGGACACTCCAGCTTCAAAACAAGTCATTAGTCTTCAATTTCCATCTAGCCAATTGTATGATATGAATATCCAAAGTAAGCACCGTGAACTGTTTTTACACTGAAACAACAGATTAGGTCGACCGGATCCTATATGAGGTCGACCGAATCCTAAATGAGGTCGACCGGATCCTATATGAGGTCGACCGAATTCTAAATGAGGTCGACCTAATCCTAGCTGAGGTCGACCGGAAAGTGCAAGTCACCATGACATGCATGTCACCGTAGGCACACCCAAAAAGTTAATACATATATTCTACCTTAAATTTAACCCCAAAAAATGAATTAATATTGACATTGCATGTATTTGCTAAATATAGAGCATATATAGACCAGCTAGAAATTCACAATCCTAGCTAGTTAGCAGCTCTCTCTTGTCTGTGGCTATATAAGTCGAAAGCCCACCCCTCTAGTTTAAAATCGTCCCATCTCTCTCTCTCTCTCTTCCGTATAGCCAAAATCCAACCCTAGCTAGCCAGACACAATCCTCTCTTCTTTTCATGGCTACAACCGAAACAATATTATCATGCCACCCTGGAGAGAAATGCATTATCCACAACTTCTCCATTAGTAGTCCTGCTGCCGAGGAGAAGAAACTTATCGTCCATCCTCTACTTTTGACTCCTTTCTCTGCAGTTGCACCACCTCTCTCTCTCACCCTCACCACTCGTCTGATTCGGATCCGGGTCGAATCAGCTTTGGAGACCATCTTGGAAGAAGAAGAAGAAGAAGACGAAGAAGAAGCTGACATGGACGATGATGATGATGTTTTACCACTACTACTGACCAATGCTACTGATGATGATAACAAGACGAAGAGCTTGTCGCCGGCGGCAGTAATGATGTTGCCCACAAAGACTAAGGCGCCCTCGTCGTCTACTTGCTTCTGGCAAGTCCGAAGGCAGCCTGGTTCCTCGTCTTCCTCCTTCAGCCTGAGCTGGGGTTTTGCGTAATTAATAAGTAAAATATCTAAATTTCGACGAGTCTAGCTAGCGCTCGGGCGGAGAGCCATAGTTCAATTTGCAAGGATGTAGCAATTAGTACGTACGTACGTAGTTGGTGACCTTTCGTTGTCCCTCTTTTTTATTGGACTTTGTTATATCACTGGCTATGCCCATTTGAGAGTGGGGAATAAATGGTGTACGTAGTACTTGGTTAACTTCTGTGGTGATGGATGAATGGTTTTGTTTTGATAAGGAAAGCAATTACTATATTTGCTTTCTTCCTCATTGATAAGGGAACTCTCGCAAGCCAATGAACTAGTACCGCAGAAACAAGTATTCGTTGTTATCATGAAGGAAGAGAGAAACTTCATGTACGTGCTGGAAGCCGAAAATGGTTGACTTATATATGCCCATCACACACATATCGTACAATCAAAATTTGACTGGAATTTTATTTTATTTAAATGCATGCCAAATGTTGTTCCACATTCAAATTACACATTTCTTTTGCTGTTGGAACGAGTTATGTGTAGTTGCGAAGATGATATAGTATTTCGTGATTGGATTTGAGATTGTGATGTCTGATATATGTATACATATAATACTCACATATTTAAAAAGTGCAAGTTGATGAAATATTGGAAACCTATCCTAAGATATTACCTTAATGTATTGTTTCTAATTACTCATAACTTTAAACCTTCACTTGGTTTTCAATTTTCTGTGACATTTTTTGTAACTATAAATTGTGGGTCCATATCCAGCCATTCTATGGGAGAAATTAAATATACAATTTGTATTTTTCATTGTTCTGTTCTTCATTTCTAGCTGGTTTAGGTTAGGATGTTCGGTTTCATTTCAATTTAAAATTGGGTTAATTGCATGGTTGGTCACTGAGATTATAAAAAACGTTCATGTTTGGTCACTGAAAATATTTAAATCCAATCTTGGTCACTCAAATTAGTTAAATGGTTCAAGTTTGGTCACTCTCCGTTACCTTCCGTCAGTTTCCGTTTACACCGTCAATTATTTGCTGATGTGGCTAACAGAAGTGCTGATTCACCCAATTTAAATTATAAAAAAATAAAACCCGACCCGTACAATCAGCAAAACCCGCCACATTAGTTTTACCCACCCCAACCCGTGACCCAAGTACCCAACCCTTCCACTCCACCCTAATTCCTCAACTTCCTCTGCCCTCGCCGATGTACCAGAATAAAAAAAAAAACTTCAATTCTCGGCGGGTTGTCTCAACCTTCGTCCAATTTTCATACCCTCTGGGTCTTTTTTTTAACTCTGCTTTGGGGCTTTTCTTTGAAATAACCAGATACGAATGGAGAAGGAAGAGAAGAGCCAACAAAGAGGTTGCAAAGGTTTCGAACCAGATTTACTGTTGTAGTGGGGGACCAAAAAGCGGCTGAGATGCGTGAGAGTTAAAGGCCCTCAACTCATCTCCCAGAGATCCAATGGCGGATTCAACCGAAGAATCATTTCCCGGGTCTCCTCGCCGAAAAAAGAAATCTCCCACCATCTCCTTTCCAGTCGTATTACAAGGTAAGTCTGATTTCCGAGGAAAAAACGCAGATCTTTCATCTATCCCCTTGCCGGCGGCAAAGGTGTCTCTTTTGCAAAGCTTGGTGGCTTGTTTGGACATTTGCCGATCTGGGTTTTCTCTTTTCCCTGATTTGACGAGTGGTAATGTGGTACAGGAATTCAGAGGCGGCGGGAGTTCGGTCTTCCGGGGTGAATGAGAAGAAGAAATTGGTTGTGTCGCCGGAGAAAGAGGACATGTATTATAGCACGAGAGGATCTTCCGCGGCGGGATTGGGGGTAGGTGGAGGAGCGGAGAAAGCTTGTTCTGCGGAGGTGGTAGAAGAGAGATCAGGCGGAGAAAGAGTGGTTAGGGCCGGATGAGTTGCTACGCAATGCGCGGCGATCGATTGAGGTTGAAAAGGAGCCGCAGACGACGACAGCGGCGGGGACCGGCGGCGGCGAGGACGGAGGAAGTTGAGGAATTCAGATGGAGTGGAAGGGTTGGGTACTTGGGTCACGGGTTGGCCGTTGGGGTGGGTAACTAACGTGGCGGATTTTGCTGACTGTGCAAGTCGGGTTTTATTTTTTTTATAATTTAAATTGGGTGAATCAGCACTTCTGTTAGTCACGTCAGCAAATAACTGACAGTGTTAACGGAAACTGACGGAAGGTAACGGAGAGTGACCAAACTTGAACCATTTAACTAATTTGAGTGACCAAGATTGGATTTAAATATTTTCAATGACTAAACATGAACATTTTTTATAATCTCAGTGACCAATCATGCAATTAACCCATTTAAAATTATGGACTATTATTCATATTCTATTGTGATGGAGATGGGAACCTATGTTTACAAATAGAAACTTTGGAAAAAAATAACAACTGTTGCCTCTGTAGCACAGTGGCAGTGCATTTGCCTCTTAAGCAAGCAGCCGTGAGTTCGAATCTCACCAGGGGCATTATTTATTGAATTGGTTACACTCTTAAGCAAGCAGCCGTGAATGGTTTTGGTTTTGTATAGTATTACGTACGTATTAGTGACACAACTATATCTGCTCTCTTCCTCGTGATAAGGGATCTCTCGCCAGCCAGCCAAAGAACTAGTGAAAGCTAGCTAGCTAGTACCGCAGAAGCAAGTATTCGACTATTCGTTGTTAATTATCATGAAGGAAAAGAGAATGTTTATGTAATGGAAAACGAAAATGATTTACTTCTGTACCCATCACATATCGTACAAGAAAGAAAAATGGTAAACTCCGAAGTTTCTTCTTCTTTTAATGCACATCATGCATGGGTAGTGCTGTCAAATTGGTTTGGTTTGGTTAACCAAACCATTAAGTATGAAAAACCAAAACCAAAAAACTAACGTGTACTCATACACTCATATTTATTCCTATTTCCCTCCTTTTTATTGAATAAACGTCATAATAATGGTAACTGGCCATAACAAATTATTGGTTGGCATGCGTGTCAAAAGAAAAAAAAAATATTTGTTGATAAATCATTTTATTCTTATTGGTTTCTTAATGGTTTCTATTGGTTTTTCGGTTTAACCCAAACCAAAACCATTAAGTTGCTTATTGATTTAAAACAAAAAAAAACTAAAACCATTAGCTTTCCAATTGGTTTGGTTTCGGTTAAAACCAAAACCAAATGGACAGCCTATGCATTCAAGTTACACAAAGTTTCTTTTGCACACAAGTGGAGTTTTTTTTTTTTTTATGACAAGTGGAGTTTTAATTCCATGTAGTTTAGAAAGAGGTAAATTCTCGCGTAATATTTGGGTTCGTGATTATAAAATGTGAATATATATGTGTGCCAAACATATATTATCTATAATGTAAAGGACTAATTACACTTTCTAGTACAAACTATTTTATAAGAGTCATTTTTGTACTAAACTATTCAATATGACAAATCTTGCACGAATTATTTTTTCGTTAATGTTGACCGGCGTTGACCGTTAGTATTTAACATAAAATCTAGCCAGCATCTATATGGTTTGTGCTAGATTTGTCATAAACTCATAATTGAATAGTTTAGAACACAAATGTCACGAAACACATATATTTTATGCCATATTTGTCATATTGAATAGTTTAGAACACAAATGACACTTTTAGGATAGTTTGGGTTTCCAAGTGGAATTAGCCCAAATGTAAACTCAAAATTTCTTCTTCAAGCTCATGAGATGATCTTCATTTGAGGAGATATTGTAAGAGAGAATAGTATAATATTAATAATTAATATTGTATCTCTATAGCTAGTATAATATAAATTTGGTTCAATATCAAGGATGTCAACCCGAGTTGGCTCGGACTTGCCCTTAAAAACGGGTCGTAGCAACCCTTTTGCCTACCAACCCGGAATTGGTCAAGATTGCCATAACTCTTTTAATGATGAGAGAATTCTTCTTCTTCCCATTTTCCTTCTCTATTTCATAAACACAGAAGTTTGCAAGATTGCTACTTCCAGACTTAAAATTGAAGGGACTCCTGGGGGTGGTTTGCTCGAGCCTACCAGCAATTTGTAGTGGGGGCAAATAACACTCTAAGGAGAGTGATCTAATCACGCCTTCAATCAATTCTTTCCTATCCCGTTCCTGACAATCTTAGAGTGTTATGTCTTGAAAAATGAATTCTGGAGTGGAAAGTACGTTGAAGGCGTATGCAATAAACAAATGGATTCCGCATCACAAATTCGGATAAATTTAAATGGTTAATTAGAGAGAAGAACTCAGTTCCTGTACTATCCGGGTGGATGATGAATCAATGCATACGGATCCAGTACTGGAAAGGAAGAAAAGATGTAATGGTCCAATTTTGCTTCTACTGGTTGCTCCATGCCGAAAGGAAAAGAAGCAGTTCGGCATCCCTAGAACCGGTAACACCTTATTCCTTTTTAATTATCGGTGTTGAGATCAGTGGGATTGGCAAGATATGTTTTATGCATCGTAACTGGCCATTTCATTTCGTCAACCATTGCATGAATCGTGAAATGAGTAAACTGGCATGGTTGGGTTTTGAAAGGATTTCAAATTGAATCCGACAGTCATTAAGAAGAATTCGTGGTTCCTTGTGTATAACTGGAAATTGATTGGTTTCTGTCTCCGGATATATTGTTTACTAATTGATTAGTAATTAATTAGTTAGTTGAATGATTAACCATCTTTTAACGGGTTTCAGTTCATGCATCTTATCGTATAAGCATGAATGTATATATGTGTATATATACTTACATAAGAATGATTCCCCAACTATTCTGGTTAAATGGAGTTGAATACTTTTGTAGTATTTTAGATGAGAACAAACTCATAATTCATATTATGAGAAGAGTTCAAGAAAATTTAATTGTGTTTGAATTTGTAAGAATTCATGTTGAATTATGAAACAAATTTTCTCACCGAAATTTGTATGAGTTTCAATTTTGATGCGTGCAAGATGCAACAATTTGGTTTATGTAACAAAATTGTTTGAGTTGTGACTTGAAGTAAATTGAAATAATGGTGAAAAGTATTCCCCGACATGGTAATTTGTTTATCATGTATTGGTTTATGATGTCATGTTTCATATGCCATGAGGGAAAGGAAAAATGAAAGTAAGATGGGTCCTTATAGGGATTGAATAAGCTTGCCAAAGAATGATGATTATCAAAATAACCATTGCCATAATTGTTTATGGTATATATAGACATATACCATTGGCAAACAATTTGGCTTGAGAACTAATTGAGATGATCTTATTGAACTTAAATTCTGAATTACTTATGGTATATGTGTGAATTTATACCATTGGAAAGTAATTAGAAGATTGAATTAGAATATTCATTTGAATTGCTTGTGGTATGTCAAGTTACCTTTGTGAAATGTCATTGGTAAGTAATTAGATGGTATTTCCAATACAATATGGAAATGCAACTGAATTACTTGTGGCATCTCAAGTTACCTTGACCAATTCCATTGGTAAGTAATTATATGATATTTCTAATAATATCTGAATTGTTTGTGGTATACTAATCTAATTAGTTCATATCATTGGTAAACAATTAGATCAATGTAGTGGTTGAAAGTTCAATAAGTAATACCATGAAAAATAAAATGGAATTATTCCATGATAGTTCGGCAAGTGGAAGAATTGTGGGGGAGATGGTTTTGATGCTAGTTGGATAGCAAGTTCTAGTGATAATAAATCTACAACTGGTGGATTTTACACTAGGCGATGGAGTTGTTTCTTGGGTTTTGAAGAAACAAAAGTGTGTTACACACTCCACTATGGAAGAGGAATTTCTAGCCCTTCCGGCGGTTGGAAAAGAGGCAGATGGCTAAGAAACATATTGTTAGATAAAGAGTTGTGGCCACAATTGATGTTAGCCATATCTGTCTATTGTGATAGTGGGGCTACTTTGTCTAAAGCTTATAGCAAGATTTACAATGGTAAGTCTAGACATAATAGCCTAAGACATGGTTACGTTAGATATTTGATTATTAATGTAATCATTTGTATTGTGTATGTAAGATCAAGCAATAATTTGGCAGATCCTCTTGCCAAGGGATAGCCAAGAGGCATGATCTATGAGTCATCCCAAGGAATGGGATTAAGACCTTTTGTGTAGTTAGAAGTAATGGGAACCCAACATTTTCTTTAGGTATTCACTAATTAAAAGGTTCAATGTGGTAATAACAAGTTACTCTAACAGAATTTATTGTACAAGTAAATTTGTCCAAAGAAGGGTGAGTTATAGAACTCTTGAGATGAGTTATAGAACTCTTAATGAATTCATTTGGAATGTCACCTATGTGAGCATTTAGAGTGGTGCCGCTCTAACAAAAGTAGAGGTCAACTTTTGTGTATGCTCATGAAACATGATTAGCACATGGCCATAATAGTGCTACCCTAGTTGGTGGTTGTGGTTTAGAGAAGAGACAAGTACGTGTGTGGCATCTCCGGTTATAGCTTTGGATCGTGACTCCTAGGCTTAAGCCCGTCACTGATTCGTTATCAACTTTGAGTTGCTTACACTAGGTAAATGTTCAAATCGAAAATATACCTTTATGTATGCGCTATTTGTTCGAGGCAGGCATTCTCAACTCTTGTTGACTAAGTGGGGGATTGTTAGAGTTAGTCAATAGAGTTGTAATACGACATTGATGGGAGAAGTAAATTATAAAGATGGAGTCTTTTGGCAATTTATTTAATTAATTAATTTTATATTAATTAATTAATGTTTGAATATTGTGAAAAGAAGTGTCCTTCCATAAAGGTAACTACCTTTTCTATGAAGGGATGTGACTCTTCGGAAGGTAACTTCCAGTTTTCACAACTATAAATAGATAACTGCCATAACTCTTTTAATGAGGAGAGAATTCTTCTTCTTCTCGTTTTCCTTCTCTATTTCATAAATACAGAAGTCTGCAAGATTGCAGCTTCCAGACTTGAAATTGAAGGGACTCCTGGGGGTGGTTTGCTCGAGCATACCAGTAATTTGTAGTGGGGCAAATAACACTCTAAAGAGAGTGATCTAATCACGCCTTCTATCAATTCTTTCCTATCCCGTTCCTGAAAGAGAATGTTCTCTGCTGTCTCTTTGCTGCACATTTCAATGGGATCAAGGTCCTCGAGCTCTTCAGATTCGCCCTCCGTCATCCCTATTTTGTCCCAAGCTCCGATCGACCCTCGAGTTGACAACCTTGTTCAATATGGATTTAAGAAAGTTCATTGTTTATTTGTTGGATTTGTTCATAAATTTTGTTGTTATGAACTTATTATAGTTTTAAATATAAATTACCTTAATGCCCTTAACTTGAAGCATTTTTATTTTGGGTAAATACAATTTAATATCCAAACCTTTTATTTTAAACAATATAATAGCCAAACCTTTTCGAAAACAATCTCATATCCAAATCGTCAACTTTTTGTATGTTTGACCGTTAGTTGACACTTCAAAAAAGTTCGAAGTATGACACTTCATCAATATCCATCGATATCTTCTCTGAAAAACCACCAACATATCATAGTTCCAGACCCGAGAAGTCTCTGACTCCACCATGATGGTATAGAATATCTAAATATTCAGTCATCTGCAATGCCAAAACAAGAAAACAAAGTTGTATTGTTACAATTTCCCCTAAACAAAGCTTTTTTGAAGTGTCAACTAACGGTCAAACGAACGGAAAGTTGACGATTTGGATATTAGATTGTTTTCGAAAAGGTTTGGCTATTATATTGTTTAAAATGAAAGGTTTGGATATTAAATTGTATTTACCCTTTTATTTTTGAATGGGATATGAAAGTAAATAACCATCTTGAATTTAGGGTCATGTCCCAAATCTCACACCTACATATGATCTCCACACATTTGAATGGGACATGAAAGTAATTCCATGCCCCACACATTTGATCTCTAAAAATAAAATACAAACAAAAAATGAATTTCCTTCAAGTCCATGATAAATTGGATTTGGATACCAAATCTATCATCCAAACCATGAATCAAACGATCCTAAACTATCTAAGAGAAACAAATTAAATATACATATATGCAGTTGAATATATTTTGCTTGTTATTTTCTTCTTTTATCCGGTTCAGGTTAAGATGCTCATTTTCATGTAAATTGTTTAATTATATGTTATTTATTATCATATTAGTGAGATTGTGATGGAAAAATTATCATATTTATTATCATATACGTTATTGTTTAATTATACGTATATTTATGATCAAATAAAATGTTTGGCAAAATTAACAGTCAGTTGCCTCTGTAGCACAGTGGCAGTGCATTTGCCTTTTAAGCAAGCAGCCGTGAGTTCGAATCTCACCAGGGGCATTATCTTGCTGGCGATTGGTTAACGTTTTTGTTCTCTTTTGGTAGGATCGGATCGGATCTCGGTGTCAATCATGGTTGTTATGCCGGTGACATGCCACCCGGTTGAACCTGGTTCAACCTGTGCCGGTCATAAAACCGGCATTACACCACCGGTATGATCGACTTACGAATCTAAGCAAAATGATATCATTTTAATGAATTCAATCAATAAAAAATCTAATTTATTATTCATTTTATGAATTTAATAGTTAAAAGTTGATGATATTTGTTGGATTGTAACTAAATTGTCCACAAATATGTTTTATATATGATTAAATACATTGGATATTAATTATTTTCATATTTTTTTAAACCAGCATGAACCGGCACAAACTGGTTATACCACCGGTCGTACCATTACATTTGCCAAACCGGCACAACGGTATAAACCGGTTAGACAACCTTGGTGTCAATAAAAGTATTGAACACCACCCCAAACTAAAATGTTGTGTAAAATTGCGAAATTTCATAAAGGCTCTAAACACTTGTGACCACGTCTTACCAAAAAAAAAACACTTGTGACCACGAGACATTATCTTTTTTATAATAACAAAACACAAACCTCACATGAATGAGATACCGTGACAACCCCATTAGAAGTTGTAAGATTGACAACCCATTTTATAACCATAGGATCCATTCACTCTCTTCAGGGGCGGAGCCAGGATTTCGAAACCGGGTGGGCCGAAAATAGATAAACGTAAATAAAAATAAAATAATTATTTTTAAATTCTACAACCTTCTTTGAGATCATTGAAATCTCTCAAAATAGCATCTGAACTAACATTTTTAGCTATCTTTCTTTCATCAGGAAACTCATCATTTATTTTGTTTCGCAATCTATTTTTCACTATCTTTATACCTGAAAACATGCACGATTACATGTAGCTTTAGAAGTGTGGAAGAGTTAGAAGAAGACAAATCAACCTATCAACAAAATAAAATTACTTTGACACTAATCTTCTGTTCATTCGGACATAGATAAAAAAAATGGGTTAATATTTTCGTATAAATAAACATCCTGTCCAATCTTTTCGATCTAACATCCTGGCCCGAACTATACACCAAAATAAACAATTTGGCCAGATCTGACTTTTAACCGTTAACTTGGACGGTCAAACGCGTTGACCGTTAGTCAACGCTCCATGTCACTGCCAAGTCAGCATAAAATATTTAAAATAATTCACAATTTCCACACATTCCCTAATTTTAAATTATTATAAATTAAAAAAATCATCTAATACCTTAGTTAAACCAAAAATAAAAAATGAAAAAATTAAATATTTATCAGATCTTCTGACTTGGCAGTGACGTGGCGCGTTGACCGTTAGTCAACGCATTTGACCGTCCAAGTTAACGGTCAAACATCGGGTTTGGCCAAATTGTTTATTTTGGTGTATAGTTCGGGCTAGGATGTTATAGATCGAAAAGATTGGCCAGGATGTTTATTTTGGTCAAAGTTCAGGCCATACGAAAATATAAACCCAAAAAAATAGATCATATAGTTTATATAAAGAGCTAAAAATCTCAAATGAACTAAATAGAGGTTGATTTTTTCATTTGTAGCTGGATTAAAGTAACAAAAAGAATGAAAAGGAGTGGGTATCCGTTTGCTTTGGTCCAGGACCGTGTGGAGGAGAATTAAGATAATAAAGTCCAAAAAGAAGTTAAAGCAAAAATGTGGTTGTTGTGGATCCAACCTATTTGCTTTAGACTAAAAGTTCAGCTTAGCTACCAGTAGACTAAATGATTGATATATGATACAATGTATAGGTCCAGCTATGGGTGATAATCTGGTTTTGGTTATTCGGTTTAACCAACAACCGAACCGAAATGTCGATTTATCGGATAACCGAAATCCGACTATAATAGGTTCGGTGTCGGCGTCGGTTACCATTGTTCGGGGAATATCTGTAACCGACGGTTGCCGGTTTCTAACCGAGAAAAACTCGGTGCACCGTTGCTAACCGCCGGACCTCTCCACTGGGCACGCCGATGAGAATGATGAAGAAGAGGAAGAGTGGAAGACCAATATGCCGGCCATGCGAATCACTCCCTCTCCTCCCGCCTCTCTCCTCTTCCTTCCTTTCAAAATTCCCACCTTTCTCCACTGTTGCCCTCATAAATCCCTAATTCCTAAATAGCTAAATCCCAATTCAACCTCCTTATCTCAATTTTTGCCGATCTAGAGATGGAAGAACACCATCTTCTTCTCGGTTCTCATCCTTCTAACCTAGCACCCCAACCTGATAAGCGTCGTCGACCCTATTTCCCCAATCCCGACCTTGGCGAGATCTAGCCACGACTTTGCTTGGAGAAAGAGAAGCAGAGGGTGTCGAAGCGGAAGCCTCTGGCGAAGTAGCTCCTCCGCGGCGGGTTCAGATCCAGGCCCGCCACCTCTGCCTCTAACAACTCTTTCCCTTATTCCTCTGGCTCCGATCAAAAAATCCAACAACACCTCCATGCATGTTCTAGTTCTGGCAGAATCTGGCATATTCAAAAATTGTCGGCTGAAAAAGAGCGGAGGAGTCAATTGGAAAAAATCAAAGTGGAGAGGATTGGAAGGGAGTCGTATGTGGTCGATGGGATCGATTGCATCCGATAGGAGTGAGAGAGAGAGAGAGCTGGAGAGATCGAAAATGGAGAGGGGACTTGCGGTCTCGGCTAACCGCATCTCCAAACCGATACCGCCGTCTGCGGTTAGCCGTTCACCGATGGTCTTGTCGGTCTCGGCTTCGGTTGGCGATGATGGGGTATCTGCGATCTCGGCTAACCGATGGTGCGGTTCGGTTAAACCGAAACTGCACCGTCTAATAGGCCTAGGTCCAGCACTACTTATCCAAATTTTATCTAAATATTCTTATGGTCCTAGGGGTCGAGACTATTCTCGGGTGGGCAGGGGCCCACCCTACTCTCTGAGTAGCTCCGCCCTGACTCTCTTGTCTTTTTTTTTTCTTTTCAAATCAATGTACAGATGGGATTAAGGGTATTTTTGAAAGAAAAAAAGTTGACCACACTAGATTATTATCCCTATTAATACCCAAAAACCTACATTCTCTCTCTCTCTCTCTCTCTCTCACACACGCCATCACACTTTCTTCTTCCTATTTTCTTCTTCTTCCTCCCATCTCTTCCCTCTCTCTGCCGGCTGCCACCACCACCGCCGCAGCCCTCCCGTCGTCGCGCCCTCCGCCTCCTACCACCACCTCCACAACCCTCACACCGCAGCAATTGCGGCCTCCTCCTCCCACCACCGCCGCACCATCACCCTCTCCCCATCGCAACCCTACCGCCGCCCTCCGTCTCCCACCACCGCCGTCGCCACGAGGTCACCGCCTCTCCCCTGCCTCCCCCTTCCCTCATCCCTGATTTTTTTTTCCAGATCTGTGATTTTTCATATTTCAGATCTGTCTTTTTTTTTTTTTGCGTTAGTCTCTAATGATACGCTACCAGTGGTAGTGGTACGCTACTAGTGGCACTGGTACTGGTACCGCTACCAGTGGTAATGGTACTGTACCAGTGGTAATTGTACCGCTACCAATGGCACTAGCGTGCCACTAGCCCTGGTAGCGTACCACTACTGTTGATTATCGTACCAATACCAATGGTAGCATACCACTAGTCGAAAATCACTACCACTAGCACTGACGAAGTGGTACTTTTTTGCAGGTGCACGAAGTGAGTCTGATCGAAGGATTTCACCGAAAAAAGTCTGCTGGTCGCAGAAAGTTTGACGATCAGAGCGGAGAGGCTGCTGAAAAAAAAGATATAGAGAAAAATACAGTATATTAATTGTAGGTTTATTTTTTTAAAAGAATGTATTTAATATGAATTTTCAATTCTCAATATGTAATTAATACAAAATAAATAATTTATAAAATACAAAGCAGGTATTTAATAAAATTGTATATTAATTGTAGGGTTTAATTTTTTTTTTAAAAAGCATGTATTAAATATGAATTTTTAATTCTCAATATGTAATTACTACAAAATAAATAATTTATAAAATTGTTTTTTTTCATACCTAAAGTACCCTTGATTGTCAATCTGACAACCCCTTAAGGGTTGTCACCATATCACATACCGACCTCACACTCAGTCCGAATAAATCACGATCTGTTGTTTCTTTCTTCCTCAACCGTTCTTTAATATGTGAAGCCTTTTTCCTTGTTCAATTTTTCGATCAGCAATCTGATTCAAAGTTTAAAGGCTAGATCCAAATTGTTGATCATTATCGCTCGAGATCATTCTTGGATGATAATAACACATTGTTTTGTATATAAGTAAAAAAAGTTGGATGTTGCTTATGTGGCTTGGTATAGAAAAACTGAAATCCATATTGAACAGATTGGCCTGTAGACTGAAAAACATCAACCATTTGATACTCTAGTCAATTTTGATCTTACATATAAAATCCCTGTAAATATCTATAGATGTATGCATCCACCCTTGAAATTGGTCGATATGAAAAGGACTCAATAATTGGATGTTATAATCAATTAATTTTACTTTGAATTTTACCCAAATTAGAAATTACCATACAGACGATTCGACACATTAGAGATCGAGGCAGTAAGACCACTCAAAGTTTCAATATCATCATTATCATTGAAAATTAGGTAGTACAAAGTAATGACAAGAAAGTCCATCAAACTCCTGCATTTTATAATCCCAAATACAATCAATTAAATGATCTGACATTTGGAACTAAAAAAAGATCAAAATAACCAATTTTGAACTCATTATCAAAACGCCGTTTCCAGTATTCCACCCCACCCGAAACACAAGACGGTAAAAAATGAAAAAAAAATAAAAAATAAAAAATCGAACCTCTCTCAAAACCCTAGCTCACCTCTCTCTCGATCGACAGATTGGGTATTGCCAAAATTCAAGTTTGACTTCCTTCCGTCATGGACCAGATTTACTCGGCCCCCCTCCCCACCAAGCAGACAGCGTCCCTGTGGAAGAAGAAGAAGATGACCAACGAGATGAAAACAGGGAGAAGCAATGCCATCCCTCTGTTTCCCACCGTCGTCACCGTCGACGGCGACAACGCGGTTGTGTTCCCGCGCCGGGGGCGGGGACTCTCTTCTTGGATGGTTTCCAGGATTGGCGTGCAGTTGTTTGGCAGGCGGCGGGTTTTCAGGAGCGCAGGTGCCACTTCCCGGCGGATTGATCTCTGTTGCTTCACCATCGTTAGCAGGTTTTTATTTTGATTTTATTTCCCCGGCGGCCGGCGTGGAGGAGGGAGAGAAGAGAGAATTGGTAATGATAAGTTCGTCCGCCTGAGATTGGGAGTGAGAATTATTCCGGTGGGGTGGGATAGGGGAACGATTGCTTTCCCTGTGTCTAAATACGAAAAGGAAAAAACTAATTTGTCTATAATTAAGCGGGGAGCAGGGAGAAAATAGCGCGGAAACTGGAAAATGGGAAACGGAAATTCAAAAAAATCAGTGGTGGCTGGTTAATTTAGGTTGAATCGATGGCATAAAAGAAGCCACGTAGTTGAAAGTTTTTTTGGTTCTCTGGGTAATTTAGTTGAAAGCTTTGACCGAGTCCTAACTATTGCCTCTACTTATTTGTGTGATCACCAAAAACCAAAACTTCCTCTTTTTGAACTCGTGTGATTTATTTTTTAATAAGAAACCTGATGTTTTATTCTTTAACAAACACTTCCACTTTGAACTCGTATGATTAGTTTGTGCTTTAATTTTTTATAACTAAACTAGCTATTTATAATAACTATTTGTATATTTAAATTATTTTAGACTTTCATGATTTTTATTTTCTCGTATGAAGGAACGTTTGGTATGGCATCCAAGGGCGTCCGGTGTTTATTCTGTTAAGTCCGGGTATCATTTGGCTGCGGAGTCCTCTCGGCGTCCTCCTCGAGTTTGTCGGGATTCTTGTTCCCCCTTTTGATAGGGGTATGTGGAGGAAGGTCTGGGGCCTACCTGTCCCCCCCAAGCTTCGTTTTTTTTGTCTGGCAAATACTGAGACGAGTGCCTCCAACGGGGGAAGCACAACGGGTGCGGGGGATTGGGGATGGGTGGGTGTGTCCAGTTTGCTTAGGGGAGGAGGAGGAGACGATGGAGCATCTTTTCTTTCGTTGTCTGGTTGCCATTTCCCTTTGGCAATTGACGGGATTGAAACATTTGCAGGATGGGATGGCTTCAGGGAGTATTGCTATGTTTTGGCGTAGGGTGCTGGAGCACTCGGGCTATGGTCCCCTTGAGCTAATGCAATTGGTCTCTCTTTTGGAGTTTATGGAAGTCGCGAAATGGGGTGGTTTTTTATTTTGTTCAATACTTGCCTCCTTCTATCGGATTTCAATTTTCTGTGCAGGTTGCTGAGTGGGTTGATAACCCTCGGGAAGTTCCCCCATGTCCGGTTCCTCCTCTTTCCGTGGAGACTCATTCTAGTATTGGCCCTGGTTCTCTCCTTTGTTTTGTTGATGGTGCAGTTCAGCGGAACTCGCATGGAGCTGGTTGTTGGGTTCTTCAGGATGTGGCCGGTTCGCTGGTGGCTAGTGCGGCGCGACAATACTCTGGTGTTTGTCAGCCATTTTTGATTGAGTTGCTAGCTTTGCGGGATGCTGTTCGTTGGTGTGATGATAGAGGGTGGACGTCGGTCGTCTTTCAGGGAGATGCACAGGTGGTGTTTAAGAGGATTATAGATGGGGAGGTTCATGATGCAGTAGGGGGCGCTCTTCTTACGGAAGTTCAGATTCTCCGTTCGACGTGCCAGCACTTCGATTGTGTTTTCATTGGTCGTTCTAGAAACAGGGTTGCCCATCTGGTGGCAGGGAAAGCCCTTTCATTGAGTCTGCCTTTGTTGGTGGGTTTCGATTGGTTGCTTGGCTTCGGTCACTCTGAGTTGTGTTGGACTTTGTATCTTTTGTTTCTCGGTAATACGAGTTATCTAATGGTAAAAAAAATAATTTTTATTTTCTCCAAGTTTTTTTATCATAGATATTCCGGAAGGAATAAGCCATATACGAATATACATGACTCTTTCAGGCCAAAATCAAATATAAATAAGAAGGGAATGTTGGTCAACAAGACGCTGAGCCAACGATAAAAGGGCTTGTTTTGCCATGATATGGGCAACCATATTGTACCTACGCGGTGCGAAATGAAACAAGACACGTTGGAGGGATGTTCTCAGCACCTGAACCTGTTTCAGAATGACACCTCCCAACACGTGAGCCGAATCGTTCGCGTTGACCACGCGGATGAGTACCTGCGCATCACCACAAAAATAGACATTAGATATAGAGTGATTAATGCACAAAAATAGACATTAGATTTTTATTTTCTCCATTTATAAGTGAGTATCTGGTATGTTTATATTTTCTAATGGAACCTAGATTCATGGATATCAAATCTAATCCAACTTGGTCACAACAGCTTGAACCAGTTATTGACGAGTTTTGATGTGAGAGCAAGTTTTACCGGCTTTTTATTGGCTTTTTTTTTTTGTAATTAACGAAATTTTGAGGGCTTGTTTTAATAGTCTTATCTTTATTTCTTAATTACTCATATGTATTCATTTTCTTTAGAGTCGATATAATTTAATCCAAACCCATCGATATCCTACCTAATCCAACCCATTCAAAGTTACTTGAACCTGGCGTTGACGAGTTTCAATGAGAATGAGTTTAAGATAAAAACTTGTTCCACTTTCAATCGACCCTAAAAAAAAACCTGATTAAAGCAGGTTCAACCTGGCATTGACGAGTTTTGGGTCGTAAGCTTATTTTACTAGCTTTTGTAAATGTTGGGTTGGGTGTAGATATTTGTTACAAATTGATTGTTTTTCATCCAACTTGCCAAAAAATAATAATTTTATGGACGAGTATCCAACCTAATTCGACCCGATCAAAACGAGTTGAACCTGTGTCGACGAGTTCTGGGCCAAAAATGAGTTTTACCCGCTTTTGCATTTTGCCAGCGTGGATTTGGTTAAAAATTTGGTATGCTTTCTATCTGACCCGAAAAAAAAACAATCGACCCAGTCAAAGCGAGTAGAACCTGCTGTTAATAAAGACCAACCAATTATATTTTGAGCCCTTTTACTATGCTATAAAGTATTGGTGCTTTAATGTACAACTTGAAGTTGTACCATAAGATTAAATGTATAAGTTTAAGTTGTACCATAAAGGAATTTGTACCCTTATATTATGGTACAACTTTACAAGTTGAACTTGTACCATCACATAAAGGTACAAGTTCAAGTTGTACCATAAAAAAAAAATACAAAACAGTGTAGATATAATCTAAAACTGTACCATAACATTAAATGTACAATTTCAAGTTGTTCTATAAAGAATGTGGAGATTTGAAATGTACTTTACATGGTTAGCATGTGCGTCAGCATTGTAGGACATGCATTTTGATATTTAAGAAAACATGGTTATTGTGCAACCAAATTTCTTCCAATACCTTTTTTTCGTGAATGTTGTAATGTTCGCAATTACCGGTGGTCTTTAACTTTGTTTTCTTCTCGGTAGAATGGTTGGTTTTAGTATTCCAATTTTCACTAGTTCTGGCAGATTTATATTTTTCACTTTGTTGCATCACGTCTTTGCCATTGTTAATACAACAAGTAGCTTTATGTTGTTAGGTACTCATGATATTGAATTTATCTCTTTCTAAAAAAATCTGTGCAGTTATGTATCTTTATAAGCTGTCGTGTTCTTTTGATGGTGCGGTTTGTGGTAAGTCTCATGCTGCAGTTGGGATAGTTATTTGGGATGCAATGGGAGTCGTCGTGTTGGCGAAAGGGGAGCGCTTGGATAGAGCGTTTGAGCCGGCAGTGGTGGAGTTAATTGCTCTTCGGCAGGCTATGTACTGGTGCATAATGAGGGGATGGGGATCAATGGCAATGCTGATTATGGGGGATGCAAAGGTCGTAATTGATAAGGTGAATGCGATGGAGGTGAGGGACGCCAAGGGTGGAGCAATCCTACAGGAAGTCAGGGCTTTTCAACATATGTTCCCGGGGTTTAGAGTGCAGTTCGTTGGTAGGCAGAACAATAGGGTTGCCCATTTGGTGGCAAGGAAGACCCTAGTATTGTCGGCTAGTGCTGTGCTAGGTTTTGATTTTTGCGCTTGGCTCCGTTCGGAGTTGTAAACGTTCGATCTATCTTTCTCTTGGTAATACAAGCTATCTTTGGTTAAAAAAAAAATAAACAAAAATATTTTACATTGAAATTTTAGCGTTCCTCCCACAACATTCGAAACACCAACAAATTAAGATTCCAACTCACAGAAAATCGCACTCACGTTCACGGCAACCAACCCCTAATTTATTTACCATCTTATCAAAAACCATAGCTGGAATCATATAAATTGGGTGGCATCCAACCTCCATTTCATCATCAATCCACTACACTCATCATTAGACTAAATCACACATAGAAGTTAGGGTCGGGTATTTATTCCGGGAATTTTGGTTTTACCCGAAACTAGACCGTATAATTCAGATCGATACCGGACCCGTATAACTCAGATCGAGACTGGACCGGGACCTGATAACAAACAATTCAATCCAATCTTCGAGTCTAGATTTGAGGTAAAAAACCGTTTGGGACCAGACCGAAAACCGAATAAGAGAGCCCAACACCCAAAATTTAAGCTCCTCACCCTTTCAGGCAAGGCCACTCAAATCTCCACAAGCTCAATCTAAAATCAACACCGAATTGGGATCGGACCGGTTCAAGACCAGACCGGATCAAGACCGAGCTGTATCCAATCTAATTTTTGGTCCTTATATTCTCGAAAAGACCGGACCAGGATAGGATCAATTCGGGCCAATTTAACCAGGCCGGACCGTATAGCCACCCTAATAGAAGTGAAGGCAGTGGTGATAATCGGCTTTAACATATTGAATTTTTGGACTTTATGTGATTATCCATGGTATGTTTAAGCCGATTGGTACTATTTTAGAGCTCGCTAACTCGGAAATGGTTGAAAACCCATTATTGCCTAGTACCATGAGTTTGGTGTGCTACAGGTGGAGAAAGCACGAAAAAGAAGCGAGTGCACAAGCAATTAATTGGGCCCAAATCGCTTTGTCTCGGGAAGGAGATGTAATTGGGCCAGAAAAAGCTTGGGCCGAGATCAATTGGCTCGGGGGAAAAACAAAGCAAAAGGAGGCTCTGGGGATTTTTAGGGGTGGAAACTAGGGATGGCAAAAATATTCGTAACCGTGGATATCCACCCGAATCCGACCTAATCGGGTAGGGTAAAATCCGAACCCGAAGTATTTTTCGTGGGTACGGGTAAAACCCGAACCCGAATATTGCGGGTAATGGGTGGGCATGATTATCTCACTATCCAACCCGAACCCGCC